CTTTCGTAAAGTTACGAACGATTCGCAAAGTTACGAAAAAATGACGTCACATGTGCTTTCGTTCGTAACTTTAATAGCACCTCAGACCCTTTCATAACTTTGCGAATGGCATATTTCTCATCCAGTTCTTATGTAAGGGATACAGGTTGGCAAAAAGAAATTGTTCTTTATATGCATGCTAAGTTTCAAGCTAAAATATCCACCTATTCTCACATGATAAGCAAATATGTTCCTGAGCTGGGAATCTTTGAAATCGCGGAGACAGGTTTAATCACAGCGTGCAATGATATCAAATGTGCTAAATAATGATATAAGATGACGTAACAATTTGAAATTCGCTTACGAACGATAAAACTTATGAATGACTTACGAAAGTGTTCTGTTAATGGCCGATTCGTAACTTTACGAATTCGTAAGTCATTCGTAACTTTTTAAATAATTACGAATTTCATAAAGTTGCGAATTACGAATTCGTAACTTAGCGAAAGTTCTGTTAATGACCCCCTGGTTAATATATCCCAGCTGGCAAACTATATCTACGTGACGCTTTTTCATTTTGTATAATCTTGAATTTCTAGAAATGCCGCATGAATCATTTATCAGACTCTAAATAAGTTTGAAATTTTGAAATATCATCCATATCGTAGATGGCGGCACATATGATGAGATGGGGTCAGTGCTATCACAAACTTTGGAGAGGTTGTAAAATATGCTTTTTTTAAATTTTTGCAATAACGTGGTTGCATTATTTGCACTTCCCCCACATAGTTCTGTGTATTTGGTGCATAATTTAATTTTTTAGCTTGCATAGTTCTGGCATCTCTGGTATACATTATGCCACATGGTGGCAGTATTTGTCACGTCACGACTTGAAGTCAGTGGTCATGTACATCTATTTAGGGTGAAGGGGCGTAACATAGACACCATTTTGGGGTAATTTCGACATGTGGGGTAACTTTGACACCTTGTTGTTTATTGTTACAATAATTTTTGATCTAGGAGGAAGCTATTTTTTCTCGCACGGATCAAGATCTCACGAGATTTTAATTTTCCAGAAATCAAACATGGCGGAAAACGGAAATTTTACTTCTAATAAGTATGTGTCAAAGTTACCCCGTCTCTCATGTCGACATTACCCCACACATCAACATAACACCCCTTTGTATGTATCATTGACGTCATGGGCTTTCAATTGAAAGCCCATGTTGACGTATATCAAAATTAGATCTAACAAATAACACTTACCATATACATTAGCTGCAATTAGTAGTAATACTGAGTAATAAAAACCTACACCATCCATCTTTATTGCACTGATTCAGGGTTTCCTTCGTAATCTCGAATAGTCTGGTTCAAAAACTTTTCAAGAGTTTTGACTTCAAAGTTCTCTCCTCTCAATCAAAAAATTATTTCAGAGATAACATCATTTGGTTGGCCTTTATGTCCTTTAAACCTCCTAAATATAGGTGTAATACATGAATTATAGCTAAGACAAGCTTATTAGTGACTCATTTAAGCTGATAAATGTCCTTATTTAGCGCTAATCAGCTTATTTGTCACGATCTTTGATCAGGAAGAAATCCGGAAGTGCAGCCATAGGTGTCACTACAGTATATGACCCACTTCCGGGTATGTGAGGGTATTACTCCGATAAATTAAAACGAACTGATTTACCAATTTTAATGTTTTAAAGTGAATAATCCTCGAGAAGACTGATCGTTTTCAGAAAAATATGAAAATCACAACTAATTATTATATTATATTTTATAGTAGAACTTCCCACTATCTGTGCAATTTCCCAAGGACAATCAATGTTCAGAAATAGCAATAACTCAGAAACCATTTGTCAAATTTTGATGTTACTTTTATTTGTATCACTTGATCTCAACCCTTGAAGCAAACATGCTCAATGGACATTCCTAGAAGTCCAGATAGCTCTTTATGGAAAGTAACATTTTGGTAAAAAAATGCTATACCAGCACATGTTATTTTCTGGTACAAAATAAAGTATGAAGACATGTGTCAATTGCCTTGCTTTTTTCAGGAAAGTATCATTACATTGTCTTCTTTAAGAATATCTAGTAGGAGTTCAATGGGAACTCCAAGAAATTCTGATATTTCACACTTTCTATTTTTCCAAATTTTCTTTCAAAGTTTCCAGACAACACAGGAGCTACCATTGACCTGTTTCCAGGTTTACTAAAAGTAGACAGTGTAGTGATACTTTCCTGAAAAAAGCAAGGAAATACACACATGCCTTCATACTTAATTTTGTACCAGAAAATAACATGTGCAGGTATAGCAATTTTTTACCAAAATGTTACTTTCCAGCTGAACCTTAAAGGCCCTAGTATGTATCCAACAGACTGACTAGAAGTAGAGGTCAGTCCTGAGTCTGTTATGATGCACTACTGTCCTGTGGAAATTGCAGTGAAATTTTTTCCATAAAATTATCAATAATGGGAACCATTTCTTCAATAAAATAAACATTACAAAAAATCAATTAAGTAGTAAGGTACAATTAACTGCAATAAAAAGTAACACAGCATATTGTCAAGTGGAATTAAAGCTAATTGAAGTAACAAATGCGCAAATTAATTTTACCTAATCCAGGGCTGTCAACTTGGGACCACCTAATATGAGTGACTTCAAAATGTTGGACACCTAAGTCCAAATCTGGACACTTTTGTCCAAATTTTGAACACCTTTGGCCAACTTTTAAACACCTTTGGCCAAAGTTTGGGCACCTTTGCCAAACTTTGAACACCTCAAATTTTTCGCGGGGGGGGGGGGGGGGGGGGGGGGGGGTAGGTACGAAAAATTTTCAATGAACATGCGTGACACATACGGGATTCGCGTGACAAATCCGAACAATTTGCGTTCGGTTTTTTCCGACGTTCGTATTTTTACCGTATCGTAAACATATTTCGAAAAATTTTCTACAGAAATATTTTTGCGTGACAATTGCCAGGTAAAATGCGTATTTTGCGTGACATTTTCTGTCACGCAAAAAAAACTGGCGTGACTTCAAATTCTTCAGCAAATGCGTGACAAATACGCAAATTGCGGGACAGTTGACAGGCCTGCTAATCAGCCAGTTTGAATAGCACTTCCTATGTACAAATATTTTGAATTATCAAACTTTAACATAGGTTGCTTATAGTCTGAATATATTGAGGCTAAACAGGATATAGTCTATTAAAGGCCTATTGATTTTAACTATAGCTACCATACTGCCATAAGTTCACGAATCTTTTAACTATATTACCTACTTCAAATAGATTTATAAGCATTTTGCAGATTTTTGACAAAGATAATTCAACCTTAATAATATACATTTGGTGTTTACTGCAATAAGTGGTGATTTTAGAGTGAAAATGAGTATGTTTCTGAGTTTGAACAAGCCTGACAAAAACAGGTTATTTAGTATTTACATGTACCTACCTTCAGATTTTCCAGATGATATCAACATGTTTTAAAACTGCATGTCAAGAAATATTTGAAAACTAATGCCTGAAATAGGTTTGGAACTAAATTACTCTCATTTTAATCTCATTGTCATGGTTACCATGCTACAGTTAAGCAGGCTATGTTAACCAAGGTTACTTAATTTTTAAAAATTCATTTGGACTTTTCACGCGGATACCATATATGTCACGCATTTTCTTCGAAATATTTCGTACCTACCCCCCTCCACTCCCCCCTCCGTGACTGAGTTTCTGAATGCAAGTATAGCTAGCGCAAAAAATTTGAGGTGTCCAAAATTTGGTCGCAATAAAATTTGAACCAAGTGTTCAAATTGTGGGACAAGGTTTTCAGATTTGGACCAAGGTGTTCACAATTTGAAGAAAGGTGTTCAACGTTTGTAAGTCACTCATGATTGCTGTTCCCAAGTTGACAGGCCTGCATCCAGGGGCAGTGATGGTTGGACCAGGTTTGGTACTAGAATTGGGTCTAGGCTTTAATACAGGGTGGTCCAAAAAATGGGACACGCATATTTCAAAAATAAATATTGATTTTCTTGATGAAAACATGTCATATTATATACCAATGGATATGGAATTTACTCATCTTTAATTTGGTATATCATAAGTTCAAATTTATTATAATGTCTGTCAACCAGTTTGATCAATTGTAGAATTCAATTTTGGCCTAAATAATTCAAGATTTCTCAAATTTGAAATTAGGTTAACAATGTGATCGGCTTATTTTGATCACTCAGGCTTTGTTTTTTTTCAATTAAATTTTCACAGCAAATAATTATATTTTGGAAATTTTCAAACACAAAAAATGTGAATGCTAGCAGCTAGCAAAAATTACCTAAAGTTCATTATGTGTATTTCATGTTTTTGCGATTTTCTTGTAAGGTTTTCGGATTTGCCACCTTTTAACAAGTACCCTGCTTGAATTTTGCCTCTGTCATGTCTGTTTTATGCAATAAAAAACTAATCTCAGTGTTTAGTTTCTAGTATATTTCTTTTTTTATTCTAAATCCAGATGATTCTCACAGAGATATATCAGACTGGTACTTAAAATGTGTGAATGACATTCAATTTCAAGGTGAGGGGAGGGGCAATGGACATACCCCTACCCCCTATCCATTTATGTTCAAGTGAGCCAGTGTTATTTATTGATGTAACTGTTACCCAAGCAGTGTTGACTTCCATGCTCAATCACTGTGAGGAAAGGTCCATAACTTGATGAACAAGATGGTTATCCATGTAAAACATGGTACATGTAGAAGGTCAGTCTATGAATTAAAATTCAGACTATAATGGAGCAGAGACTTGTTCCATGGGGTTTTTAAATCCAGGTATAACTGTATATAACTGAGTCTTGTTCCATGGTTTTTTTTAAATCCAGGTATAACTGTATAACTGAGTCTTGTTCCATGGGGTTTTAAAATCCGGATGTAATTTTGAGACTGGTTCCATTGGGTTTTCAAATCCAGGTAAAACCAGAACTTTTTCCATGGGGTTTAAAATCTGGATATAATATAACTTGTTCCATGGAGTATTAAAATACATGTATTACTGCATTGAGACTTGTTCCATGGAGTTTTAAAATCCAGGAATAATTGAGACTTGTTCCATGGGATTTGACATCTGAGAGGAAGAATCAGACATTGGTGTATCAATTCTTGATTGTCTTTGAGGTTGAGACGGTATGCTGTATATGTTGTCTTCAAGATCATATGTTTGGATCAGTCTATCAACTATATACTCAATATCTTTAGTGCGAATTCCATCACAGAGAGCCTGAAAAAATGATTTGAAGAAGTTGAATGTATTTTTCACAAAAGTGATTTTATTAAGATGAGAAAGTGATAAAGCTCACGAACATTAAAATGTTGAAAATTATGTGCGTGCTACATATCACTTCAATTTCAACAAGCTATTTACATGACAAAATAAAACCAACTTAGCAAATTAAATTTTATGTAAAGAACTATGCCAGAATGTTTACATTTATGCCTTGTCATTTAATCCAATGCAAACTTAATGACTTGTATACCAGTACCTGTTGCCATATAGTGTCAGCCTCGCCATCATATGGTACATCCACCCCATGACACTGAAATGCTAGGTACAGAACAGCAATCGCCACATGCTGGGCCTTGTGATGTAATATTATGTCGCTATGGTAACTGTCCCTTAGTAATGCCCAGGCAGTAGTGAGAATAGGCACATGATTGACAGTCTGTGGGTGGAGCCAATCACTAAGTGATTTGTAATAGTGCAATACATACTGAAATAAAAGATGCATTTTCATGTACACTTATTGCACAATCATATGTATACCACAGTTTATCCAGGATCAAAGAAAGACAATTAAAAAGACAAAGCAAAACTTACATCAAGGAAGATATCATACTGCTATGGCCTATGGGACATATCTTACAATAAAGATGAAAACATAATTTTATAGTTTTATTTGCTTTATTAAGGCATTGTCACAGATCAGAGCAGGAGTACTCAGAATGATATCAGTATATATAATTATGTGTATATATGTTTCATCTTTGAAGGATGACATGTTATATTAAGGTACAAAACTCCTCTTCTTAAGTTCCCTCCTCAACATGATGGGATACCATAACTAAGAGAAATACATAATGGGAAAAGCTGAGTTACACAGGGATACTCTGCAAGTCTAGAGGCACACATGTCAGTATTAATTACTATTTACTTACCTTATGTGGATGTATAAACTTCACTTGGAACTTGAGAACCCTCATCATGAATAATTCAAAATTAACGACACCATCACGTAAAGTCCAGTATGTTTCTCCTATTTCTAAAGGAGGCTCATCTTTATTAAGTGTCCTGTAACACACATTAATAACATCTCGCAGCTTTAAATGTTCCTCTTCGATTTTCCCTGCGAGGTATAGTGAAGTCGTTGCGACCATGTGTGGATCATAATCAGTGATGTCACAATGATGGAAGAATTTGTGGTATAGTGTGCAAGCTGTCGCCAGTGGAATTGGAGAGACATTTAACTTTATAGATGCCTCGAACATGAACCTTATATGTTGGAAATGTTGTTTCTCCACTTCATTTTCGTCTGTCATTGTGTAAACTGATCAATGTATCTGAAAAACAAGGAGTTTGTGATGTAAATTACCATGGGCTCTATCTAAATATCAAATTCACATAATTTTACAAATGGCTGCATTGTGTGATCTTCAGATATGAAGTTCATGTTGGCTTCTGTATAAATAACACATCCATCATGCAAGGTAGATAATATCAACTCACTTCATGTTCATGTAGTTTGTAAATAAATGGTAGCGCAATTTGGGTCAGCTCTACATTTCAGAATTCGATTGGAATATAGGTTCATTTAACTATTATAAATGAATATTTAACAAAAATGTTACATGGAATCATTTGATGGAAGGTGTTTTCACATTATTGTCAAGTATCTGTCACACATCGGCGTAAATTAGTTTCAATCGATCCAGAATATGTGATTCATTGATGCATATCTTGGAAGTTGAACTCAAAAATCGCTCCAAAAAATCAGAGCAATAAAGAAACACTTATGTAGAGTTTAAACTTGTTGAACTACTCAAAGACATGTCTCTGGTTTGTCCTGAAAGTGAAACTGAATAAACAAGCGCAATCAAAGCAGTCAGACCTTATCTTCGGGCTAAGAAACAAATGTAAAATTTTGAAAGCATTGCCAAGAAAACAATATTTGAGATATTCATTACTCTACCGACATTCATATTTATACGCTTAGGGGTCAGTTACATACCTAAATCTTCTTATAAGAAGAAAAACAAAATAGACAGGAAACCATGAAAATTTTACCGGAAATACATCTAAAAGCAGAACTTTATCATAATTGAAAAATTGCCCTGAAACAAAATCGAGACAACTTTCCTCAAATAATTTTGTTTGAGAAAACATATCAGTTCAAATTTAAATATTTCATGAAATTATAATTTTCTCATGATTGTTTACTGTGTTTATAATAATTCATTACATTAATGACTTTACTTCTTCGTTTCGGAAAGTTGACATTCGACGTGAACCGACAACCGCCATATTTGAAGTTTGTTTTTAATGATTTTCTTATCATTATTTCCAATTATCACCGTCATCAAAGGAAACTTTTCGTTTTTGAAGTGTCATTACATATAAAACAGTATTTCAGACAGCCATGGCAACCGTATTGGTAAGTATATATGTATTCTTGACGGACAAAATGACACAAATATTCATGAGATTTTTTTTATTTTTCAACTTTTTCAACTTTCATTGCTAGGCTTAGGTGTAGACTATATCCTATTTAGTCTGAATTATATTCAGACTATAAGGCACCTATGTTAAAGTTTGGTAATATGAAATATTTGTTTAAATAGGAAGTGCTATTCAAAATGGCCGATTGGTAAAATTAATTTGCTCATTTGTTACTTCAACTAGCTTTATTTCCACTTGACAATATGCTGTGTTACTTTTTATTGCATTTAATTGTACCTTACTATTTATTTGAAATTTTGTAATGTTTATTTTATTGAAGAAATGGTTCCTCTAATTGATAATTTTGTGCAAAAAATTTCACTGCAATTTCCACAGGAAAGTAGTACATCATAACAGACTGACTTCTAGTCAGTCTGTTGGATACATACTAGGCTTAGGTGCCTAAGCTTAGTGCTCGGCTGTTTCAGTCACAGATCCGGAGCCTGATCCAGCCCCTGTTGGTAGTAGGCTCAATGGATAAATAAGAAGATCGGACACAAACCAAAAATGGTACATCCAAAAAATACCCAAAAATACTCGTACTGACCTTTATCTTTACCATCTCTTAAACTTTGAGGAGACCCTATCTGTTGCAAGACTAACGCCTGGCATAACCGTCACCATGTTATTCAGTGTTTTTTAAGTAGCGCAAGGATCCTGCCATGACCGTGGTAATGTTATCGTGAAAGCCTGGTATAACTGCGACAATGCTGTATTATATTGCAATGCCTGCCATGACCGTGACAATGTAATATAGTTCTGCAAGGCTTGGTATGACCGTAACAATGTAATATAGTATTGCAAGTTCAGGTAATGTAGAAATTTACGATTAGGACTGCTATAACCGTGACAATGTGTATTGCAAAGCCTGTCATGACCATGGGAATGTAATATAGTATTGCAAGGCTTGGTATGACCGCCATGGCAATGTGATATAGTATTCCAAGTTCGGGTATGAGAGTGGTAATGTAGAAATTTATGATTGCTATAATTGACCGTGACAATGTGTATTTGAAAACCTGGCATGACCATGACAATGTATTATGGGATCGCAAAGCCTGGTATGACCGTGACAATGTAATATAGTATTGCAATGCCAGGTATGAGGGTGGTAATGTAGAGATTCAGGCTTAGTTCTACTATGACCGTTATAATGTATTGCAATGACTAGTAAATATGTATGACATTAATGCCAGGAATATCCTTAACAATTTTAAGTGATCCTCATTACAATTAAACAGTTTAATACTATATGATCATGGTGTTTAACTACCTTAATCATGTCAAAATCAAAATTACTACTATACATTAATATTCACATTCGCTTATAAACCACAATAAAGGCTACGGTCGCGCCAGGCTTCCACGATAACACTTCCAGGGTCATGACAGGCCTTGCAATAGAATACAGCATTGTCACGGTTATACCAGCCTGTCACGGTTATACCAGGCTTACACGATAACACTACCACAGTCATGGCAGGATCCTTGCGCTACTTAAAAAACACTGATTAACATGGTGACGGTTGTGGCAGGCGTAAGTCTTGCAATAGATAGCATGTGACTTTGAGTGATCAATATTTTATTCTTTATTTATTACCTAAAATCTTTCAATAAGTAGTCATTAGACCAATGTTTTGTTTTTCTAGGCATGATTTATTGGTTATCTTTATGTCCCATCCAAAATGTTCCATCTCGAAATGAATAATTCTGTCTCGTTCAGAAATATTTTTGTCCTGTGACAAGTCATTACAGATCTACCCAATTTATTCCCATCTGTTTTAATCGAAAAATGTACAAATTATTCCTCATTGTTAAAGAAATGAGATGATGCCTGTGACAACCCGGGTCATAAATCATTTCAAACCTACCACGCTGATCTTTTCACAACCAATCAGCAACTGGAAGGTCCACATGCTAAATGCGAGCTCATTAACTCTATGATTTTGTCAGAGAAAATGAAGTCGTCCGTTTTCGATGACGAACTCTGACTGGCTCGGTGAGATCTGACATATTGTAAACTGGAAGAGTGAAGACGAAGCTCTCTTTTAAGAAGCGAAGCCGAACAAATGCAAACGGTACAATTAGAATGTACTAAGCTGGGACAAAATACTATTTATTTATTATTTTATAGTCATCATGCTATTATGTATGTTGCAGGAAGACCCTACCCTTGAGCGGCATTTTAAAGGCCACAGGGATACTATTACCAGTCTTGACTTCAATCCAAATATGAAGCAGTTAGGTAAGCAATGATGAGATGTACTTTACAGATGATGTATTTCTAAATTCAGTACTTATTCTATATCAATAGACTAGTTGCGAGTAAAAATAATCTTGATTTACGTCATTAAATATTCAAAATTCAGTCAAAGTGATGTCATATTTGAAATCTGCATGTAAAAGTACATCAAGAAATATGGTTTCGGAAATTATCTATCAACTTTGAAAATTTAATTTTTTTTGAAAATGTGACTTCTTGTTCGGGTTGATTCCCCATAGACCCCATGTTACATAATCACAAAAAGTAAATTATCTTTTCTTGTATTGGACAGATAACATTTTCTGTTACTGGACATATTTTAATTTGCATAACTATTAGATACATCAGGGTTATATGAAAATTGGACCACGCAAATAGATGTAATTTAAGTTAAAGGGAACTTTCTACTATACCCGCCATGCTATCTGACCCGAACGAGCCACCTGGTGGTGAATCTGGTAACTACCTACTCGCACAAGCGTTATTGAATCAATTGAAGATTCAGCTTAAAAATTGTTTGATGAAGGTTGTAGCTCATGGTAGGCTTAGTTGCAGTATTGCAATCACTCATATGTCTTTCTGTCTGTTTGTCAGCAATTGGTGCAAGTTTTAACACCACTACAATTACAATTTTGTGTTTATTCATTTTTAGTAGAACAATCCCCCTATGACTTCCAGTTCAAAAGCAAATGCCTGATATAATCTCTTTGTTGTAGCATCTGGTTCTATGGACTCATGTCTTATGGTATGGAATTTTAAACCTCAGATGAGAGCATACAGATTCGTTGGCCATAAGGTAAGCATAGCAAACTTGGAGAATTGATGGCTAAATGGTAAGCTAGTAGCTAATAGTAATAGGGCTTTTGGTAGGAATGTTTTATCTCCATTTCAAGAACTCCTGGCAGAGTCCACTACTTAAAATCTCAAATATATTCTGAACTGTCTTGAATTATAAAATCAAATTTTTACTGATAGTATATTTGTTTAGAATATTACTTTACCAATATATAGAGTATGTACTATCCACTATAAGTTAGAGTAAATTTTTTGAAATCTATGCTTCCTACAATATTCCTTGCTAGCTGTAAAGGTAGGTCAGTGGCGTAGCTGTAATGTACGGCAACATGCCTAAGTGGAGAATTTTTAATTTTACTTATCACTTATTCACCACAAAATACATGAGAAGCTCATGATGTTTTATAGATTGTTTGTTACTTGATTGTATGTAATTTCAGGATGCCATTCTTTCGGTGTGTTTCTCCCCCTCAGGACACTTAGTAGCATCAGCATCTAGGGACAAAACTGTCAGACTTTGGATACCTAGCGTGTAAGGATACTATAATCAATTCTCAAAGATGTTCACCTGTATTGTATTTTCCGGGTATTTTCATTATTTATGTATGTTTTTTGAGGTGAAGTGTACTTGATTCCAAATGAAAGTTACCAACATGTAAAGTGAATTATAATTTATAATGTTTCTTGAATGAGACACCTCTTAGTCAAGTCAACATATATTTCGGTCCTGCAGTTTTTAAACAACTTTTCCACATCTCAATATTTAAAACAATTAATTCGAACATATATTGAGTTTAAAATATCTTTTCATCCTTTACATATATTTTGCAGAAAGGGAGAAAGCACAGTATTTAAGGCCCACACAGCGACAGTTCGTAGCGTTGATTTCTCCAGTGATGGGCAGTACATGTGCACAGCCTCAGATGATAAAACAGTGAAACTCTGGGCCACACACAGGCAGAAGTTCCAATTCTCCCTCAGTCAGCATATGAATTGGGTCAGATGTGCAAAGTATGTAGCACATTAGTCAAATAGCAGTTTTTTCTATTGTTCAGTTTCGTTCAGTATTATACCTAACACTGCAAGGTTTTTAAAAGACTGAGAATTGTTACAATTTATAGACTTAGTGGGAGAATTTAATGAAGGCAGGAAATCAGATACCTCAGTTCTGAAAAAGATGTTCAACCGGATAAGTCAAATTCTGTCATGTCACCGTGATAAGAAATGTATGTAGAAAAGTGTTTTAAAGAAATTATCAGAGAAAATTTGTAATATTTTGAAAAATTTAAATTTTAGAATCGTCAGCTAATGTCTTCCTTGCCCACCTTTTTGTTGTCTAATAATACTCAACATTCAATGAAAATTTTGCATAAAGATTGTCTTGAATGAATAGATACACTGCATTTTGTAAAATATGCTTTAAGGATGGTAGTTAATGGTAGATTTATACTTTCATATTGGTACTCCTTTCCATGCGACTCTTTTGTGTGGCTGTTTTATACATTTACATGTATTTTTTACTGCAGGTTTTCCCCAGATGGCCGTCTTATTGTTTCTGGCTCAGATGATAAAACTGTGAAACTTTGGGACAAGTCGAGCAAAGAATGTGTGCATACATATTTTGAACACGGCGGGTGCGTATAATATTGTGTTATACAAATCGAACTTGGCTAAAAAGTTGATAAAATGATATGAATGAATGATATGATGAATGGATGTTTTAAGAAAGTCAGAGAGGTAGGTACAAAATATGAAAAGGAAACATTTGTCAGGAATATTATTTCAAATGCGAGATCTATTATTAGCAATTATGCTTTCCTGTATCTCTATCTTTTATTTCTTATTTTGATATCAATAAAACAAACTATTGCTCATTTTGTTTACTTTATAAAATGTACTTTGTTGTTCAGGTTTGTCAATGATGTTGCGTTTCATCCAAGTGGTACATGTATTGCTGCAGCCAGTACAGACTCCACTGTGAAGGTGTGGGATATAAGAATGAACAAATTATTACAACACTACACAGGTATTAACATTATACACTTTTGGAATCAGGGGTCCATTTTTGGTATGATTGTAACAAATCTTTATCATTATCCTTTTAAACGAACAAGATTTGAGACTAAATCATACAATATTTCTATGTTGATGCCTTGTAAAATATTAAATTAGTGATCCTGATCAAATGTTTTAATGCTCGTACTATCAAAGTGCAAAAATCACTTATTTTACACTGTCTACTCAATATGCTTCTAAGGCACAACAAATCTTAAAATGATATTGAACATGACACATATGACTGATACACCATAAGATATTGGTGTTTCTGATCAAATGTATTAAATGCTGAAACTGTCTAATTGCCAAAATTATATTCTACTGTTTGCTCAGTTGAGTTAAAATGTTATGCTTATTTTCTAAAAATACTTCATTTCTTTTCAGCACACACTGCTGCAGTAAACAAACTATCATTCCATCAAAGTGGAAATTACCTCCTCACAGCCTCTGATGATTCCACATTGAAGGTGCTTGACCTATTAGAAGGCAGATTATTCTACACGCTACATGGTCACCAGGTAAGACAAGTTCAGAAAGTTTTCTATTTTCAAACAGAATAAAGTGATCAAGAATTTAAGGCCCAAATTAATATCTGAAATAAAGTTGATAATAGGTTCCTAGGTAATCACAATGTGGAGTCAACTCATGGATTTTCCTAAATGATTTATGTAGATTTGACATCACATACAGGGTGTTCCATAAAGGTGACGTATTAATTTGTTATTAATTGCAAAGTGTGGAGTCTGGATTAAGCACATCGTCCACTAGTAGGCCAAACCCATTGTGCTTCCTATTGGTTATGATATAATTCTTACAGTTTCCATGCAGAACTTATTACTAATTTTCAAAATCTTCTCACAATTCTGTTTGGAAACATTGCTGCCTACAAAGCATGACATGTAAATCTACCCAATATACCATAGTTTCCTTGGTTCACCAAAAGAGGTCAGGATTTATTCGAAAGGTATATTCAGTGGAGTCATTCTTATCGATATGATTAATTTGCTGATGCTGAACCTTTTTGGACCACCCTGTAGATTAATGCATAGAAACATATACAAAACTGATGATAAACTATGTTATCCTCTTCTTTACAGGGGCCAACTTCAGCAGTTGCTTTCTCAAGGAATGGGGAATTTTTCGCATCTGGAGGGTCTGATGAACAGGTTAGTAAAAGTTTATGATTGAAGTACCTGTAATTTTAATCATTCTACACTTAATTTTTTTTTCATTGCATTGCATGGAATGGGCAGTAGCACTTCAAATAGACAAAGACTGAGAATAAATTTGGCCACATTTTGATTTATTTTATAGCTATGTTTTGTGCAGAATTGTTTTATTAGTATGATCAAGAAATTGAAATGCATCAAATGTCAACGATTAAATTGATTTTAGGTTCTTGTTTGGAAGACCAACTTTGATCAAGTGGATTACAATGAAGTCCTACAAACACACAGAGCTAGGTCAATGGAGGCTGCTCCCCCAACCATACATGACATCCCACCCCGTACCCCACCTAAATCACCATCTCGCCACACTGAATCAACTAAGGTAAATATATAAGGGTTAATTGGATGAAGATTTATCTCCATGAACATTGGTTAATGAAAACACAGAATGAAATTCTGCGCTAACGGCTGATGTGAAAAAGTCACTCCACCCTAGTGGGGATCAAATTCATGACCCCCTCGCTTTCAGGACGAGTGCTCTACCACTGAGCTGTGGAGCCGACTGACTTTTCCACATCAACGTTACATATATAGCATAAATTTATCTGAAAAACTTCAGAGACAAAGGTAGATGCATTGTATAAACTTGTACATAATGGAGTATAAATCTATATTTACAGTTAAACCTAGGTTATTCAAATGTCAAGGGCCAAATATTCCATGCATGATGTCAGATTAAAAAATGGGACTGGAAAAAGTGTTCAGATTAGTGGATTGCATGTATTCATTCCAGATAAACTTGAACTGAAAACTCAATTGAAATGGTACATATGTTTCATTTCAGAGATTTGATGCTCGCTCAGAGTTACGTAACATGTCAGATGTGACACCAGGCGTGACAGACATTGGGCCTACTATGTTTTCGCAATCTCAGGTATAAATATATTTTCTAAATATCCAAAATGCTACAAATAATAAAGTGTTCTTTTGTCAATAATGTCCATTTAATTAAGTTTAACTATTTTTTTCAAGTGGGCATAACAATGATATTTACAAATACATGTATATCTTGTGAAAAAAAAAATTAATCTCATTTTTGTTTAAATATTAAATCTCCCTCCTCCTCACAACTATTTAGTTTTTGCGTCAAAATCAACATTTCACCAAATAGTAGTAATTATATTTCCCTTCCTACACATCTACATATATTCTGTTTAGACTTCTTCATGATTACTCCTTGGTATATAAATATCTAAGTACAAATGCCAAAGGGAAAGGACCAAAAACTGTAAAGAAACCTTTCAAGAAAAGCAAACTCTAAGTATAAGCCTGTCATAAGAAAAAAAGGCCCTATACGTATATTATAATCTAACATGAAAAGAATGTCTAACATCCGTCTTCTCCCTCCAATTTCAAAATCCAGTTTACATTTAATCAATAGATAAAAAAGTGAATAATAAGATATATTTTAGGCAAATGGATCAGTAGCGAGCGGTCTTCAAGACCTAGACCTCACATCAGGAGACCAATCAGCGAGGACCTTCAGCACGACACAGACGCAGAAGTTAGAGGCGAAGAACATGCCCCCAGAGCTGGCCAATACCCTCGAACACATAGTGCAACAACTTGATATCATAACACAGGTAAATTTGATTGTCATGAAAAATCTGGTTCAAGTTAGATTCTAGCAGGTTGAATTGAATTAAGTGAACTTGGATGTTTTCATTCAAACTTATGGAACATATTGATACCTCAAAATACTGTTCCACAACGGAGTTGTTGAAAATACAGAGGTTCATTTTTTATGGAATTGATAATTACATGTAGACTTTGAAAAATTGTTCCCGTTATGGATGTGTTCCACTAACAGAGGTGTTTACTTTACAGGTTTTACTGTACATCTCCAATACATAAACAATTCAAACTTAGCCTAACCTTGCTCTGTAGAGTAAGCCTCATCAGTTCAAGAAAATGCATGAATTTTCAAAATATATTTTCTATATATTTTCAGACTGTATCTATATTAGAGCAGAGGTTGACAATGACAGAAAACAAACTGAGAGAATGCCTTGACAACCAACAAAAAATAACATTGCAAATTCGACCTACTGATTGAGGATATATGGAACAATATAATTATTTATATTATAACACATACGTAATTGGTAGATCTTAGAAATCAGTGTGATCACAACTATAAGACAGTATGGGTGTACAGTAGAACCCAGTTGTCCCTGTGTTTTAAATCTGATTTGGATTATAATGATTACAGTTGAACATGTGCATTTAAATGTCTGTAATATGAACACCTAGTAGTGTGAACACTTATGTTCGGTGTCATTTTTTATGCTGCCTTGACCCTCCATTTAACAAGACTGCTTAACTATCTCAAGTCAGGATATGGCTTAGCCATATATACCAGTCAGTCATCAGGTTCCGTTCAAATTTCAACCAGGTCTTACTGTACATGTAATGTTGAACACATGTTGGGAATCTATGGAAATAGCATGCAACTTAGCTTTTCCACATAGATCATAAATGTTTCTGACTAAGCATTTAGTAATTTGACCATCTCTCTATATCCTGTTAGGAAAACACAGCTATAAATTTGCTATTTGCTCCTGTACTCCAGCCTACAAGTTGTATAGATGTTTTTATGGTACATTCTCAAAGAGCTTTGCCTTATGACATTGTTTTGTGGCAATGGGTGTCTGTGGATGTATCTACAAGTAACGCCCAGTTGAATTTTCGATAAAAAGTATGATATTTATCACTGTCACTTATTAATATGTGAAATGAAATTCTGTAAACTGTAAGCCTACGTACATCGTGGGCCATAAAGTGTATTGTACAAAAAACATTGAAAACCATTATCTTGTATAGTATCACATTGTAAAAGCACATCCACATGTTGAATAATAATACCCAAAAATGAATGCTAATATAGAATGATGTAATATGTGCATGCAAACAATGAATGAACAATGGACCAGGAGTAGATTGAGATCCTTAAAGGTGAAAGCTAACCCTTTTATGAGACATTGGAATCCTCAGTTAATGGTCTTGTCTGAATTTTAGAACTTAAATTTTTTTAAAGCATGATCTCATCCACAACGATGTAAATAGTGTAAAATGTAAATATATAACATGTACATTTTGTATATACGTATGTATTGCATTATTCTAATGATAAATTGCTATACCATAAATTTAGAGAGCCATACCTATATGAAACAGGATTTATAAAAGAAATAAAAAAATCAAGAAAAATCAATCATTGTTTTGTGTTGTAAAAAAACTACTAGACCATGAGTAACCCTTTATTATAAGAATATAAAAATTGTCCAAATTTTGGTCGCAATACCATGAAAAGAAGATTTATGCATTTTGTAGAAAAGACACACCTTCCTTTTGTTTTCTGCCTACAAGCTAGTCTAACTTTTTCAAAGAGGTGACATTGTTATAGTCTCTTACTTTTTTGTGTTTGGAGCTTGGTGGTGGGTGTCAAACTGGGTAAGGGTGACAAATTGCAGGTGGTGACATTTTGCATGTTAATGCCTTGTTTAAACAATGATATAATCAGGAAATTAAGCTTGCATTATAGCATTTTGATAATTGATGATTTGATTTCAGGTTGAATGTCCTTAAACACAAAACAAAACTTGTTTTCCATCTCATAAAATGTCTCACTGCCCTTCTCCACTTCCCCTTATTATTACGCTCTTCTCCGATGACGTATAAATCACAAAATTATTACATAGTTTTGAAATATTATATCATTATATTAACAGTAAACTGGCTAGACGTTTTTATGAAGCCATTCTTCTGATTTACAATAAATGTGAATGGTCAGCTGAAATTAGAATGGTGTATCTTAACTGAAATGACTGAAATATATACAGTAAAACCTATATATCTGAACACCTCTCTAATCTGAACACTTCTCTTATCTGAACACCTTTCTAATCTGAACACCTATTAATCTGAACACATTTTTGCTGTTTCCTTTTTATGTCACCACCACAATGGGTGGTACATTGCTCTGATCTCCAAATTTTTTTTCTGGATGGTGTTTGGCGGCTGATGTATCGTGGTTTGCATTCAACGCCTGTAACAAATGGCAGGTGTTGACATTGTGCATGTTAATGTCTTGTTTAATGTGCCATTGACTTTCATGTTATAAAGAGCTCAGTTCTGAACACTTGCCAATTAGAACACTTTGGATTAGACAGGTTCACTGATGATATTAAAATACCGTATTCTCACTAACGAGCAAACAATGCAGTTTCCAAATTGAAATTTAAAAGGGTAAGATATTGAATAACCGCACATACATAAAATGGAGAAAAATATCAACAATCAACACCGATTATCTTTTTAAGTTGTTATTGTCAAGGTTTACATACTCCACAGCACCTGTATTTCTCTCTTTAATCATCCTGTGCAAATAATCTAATCAACTAATTCATTGAAAGGTATCCCTCAGGGAAGTATTCTTGGTCCCTGTCTCTTCAATATCTTTATAAATGACATATTTCTAGCCTTGAAGAACTGTAATTTATATAACTATAATGCTGATGACAACACAATCTCTGTGATTGGTGAAAACAAGCAATCAGTTCTTCAAGACCTGGAATCACAGTCTTCTCTTGCCATCAACTGGTTTAATCAAAATAAAATGCTGGCAAACCCTGATAAATTTCAGGCTATGGTGTTACAACGTTCAAGGATTAACTCCAATTTCCTCCCAGATACTCTAACTTTTGGCAATTCTTCAATTCAAACAGAGCAATCTGTGAAGGTCCTTGGAGTAACCATTGACAACAAGCTCACTTTAAACGATCATATTAAAGAATTATGCATTAAGGCAGCACGTCAAATCAATGCCCTTAAACGGCTTTCAAATTTATTAGACATGAAAAGTCGCATGACAATATTTAAGGCCTTTGTCTTGTCACACTTTAATTATTGCCCGGTAGTATGGCACCACTGCGGCAAGACAAATGCTCTTAAACTTGAAAAGCTCCAAGAAAGATGTCTCCGATTTGTTTACAAGGACTATGAGTCTGATTATGATACTCTTTTAGACAAATCAGGCCTGCCCACCTTAACTCTAGGTAGACAAAGGCAGATAGCAATAGAAACTTTTAAAATCATAAATAATCAGTCTCCTAGTTACCTTAACGACATGCTACAGGAGCGCACATCTAGTTACAATTTACGTCACAAAAATACTCTAAATGTTCCATCTTTCAATTCTGTAACACATGGCAGACACTCTTTTAGAGTTGATGCATGCTTCATATGGAACAATCTACCCAATGATCTCAGAAATTGTGTATCTCTCACAGAGTTCAAAAAACTAATTAAATCATGGAACGGTGAAAACTGCAAATGTGCAATATGTAAATGTAAAATGTAAACCTTTCAGATTCTCTGTGCCACTATATAAATGTATTTTAGCATGACATATGATTTTTTAGTATTTATCTTGTTAACACTGTTACATGTTTTAAAATTTTATTTTAAAGATTTCTATGTCTAAATGTCGGTCAATAGCGCTTGCGCTAATGTTTATTGTACAAAAATTATCCGACTTGAAATAAAAATTGATATGATATGATATGATATAAACTTGGCGTTTTCTTAGTCTTGTCTTAGAAAAATGCATTTATTATCCAGAAAACATAATATTTGTATTTTGATAACACGATCAATGGGGAAATCTGAGACTTACAGGTGAAAAAGTACTCAAGAAAGTTGAATAAACAAAAAATATGAATCCCGGGATTGTGACAAAAGTGAAGTTGTTTAGTTCAGTGTTTCGCCACCTATCGGTCCTTTTCCGCCATATTGGATTCGAGGTACAGAAAATTTCAAAATATTACAAATATCATTGAAAATCCAAGCCATCACGACATTGATCATACTTTTATATGTTTTTATACAAACCTATGTTTATTTAAAGTACTCTAAAGATGAAATTATGACCATTTATGTGTTAATATTAGATATTTTTACCCTGGATAAAAACGAGCCATCCAGTATTTTTCGCTTTTTTCAATATTTTCGTGATTTTATATCAAAATTGTTTTTGTTCAGTATTAGATCATATTTATTGCAATAATGGTGAAGACAAATTCTGAGCATGGATAACAGGAAGTGTTTTTGTGTTATTTGTCACTATTACAATTTCATTCATGAAGATTTTCACCACAGATTTTATTTGTCAAGTGGATAGGAGACTCTCATCTTAGGGGCGGGGTCAAAATATCGATGTTCATATGGAGACGAAAGTACTTTCGCGAGGGGGGAGGGGGTTTTTGGGCACTTTCGTTGACCAAAAAAACATTGATAATTCGGATCTGATATACAAAAAATAATTGGACTTACCCACTTTTTCTGGCGCTATGTTCTGATAAAAAGGCTTGTTTTCAATAGTTGTGAGCTTTTTTGTGTGATAGGTCCAAAATATCGGTAGATAAAGACGATAATTCGATCATTTTTCAAATAAATTCCGTACTTTTCCCTCCTCCTTTTGAAGAGTTCAGTGCAGTTAAGGTACAGCTGGAAAGTAACATTTTGGTAAAAAATTGCTATACCTGCACATGTTATTTTCTGGTACAAAATAAAGTATGAAGGCATGTATCAATTTCCTTGCTTTTTTCAGGAAAGTATCATTACATTGTCTTCTTTTAGAATATCTGGTAGGCGTTCAATGGGAACTCCAGGAAATTCTGATATTTCACACTTTGTGTTTTTCCAAATTTTCTTTCAAAGTTTCCAGACAACACAGGAGCTACCATTGACCTGTTTCCAGGTTTACTAAAAGTAGACAGTGTAATGATACTTTCCTGAAAAAAGCAAGGAAATACACACATGCCTTCATACTTAATTATGTACCAGAAAATAACATGTGCAGGTATAGCAATTTTTTACCAAAATGTTACTCTCCAGCTGAACCTTAAATTGCAAACGTGTGTTAATTCACCGTAATAATAACCCGGCAAATAGGATACGATTATGCCAATGTTTTTTTTGAAGTGACCTAAGCTTTCGTCTAGAGGGGGGGTGGGGGGGTTGTTGTCCAAACGAAATTACTTTCGTCTCCATATGAACATTGATATTTTGACCCCGCCCCTTACTCTACCGATGGGAGGCTAGATTGAAAATTCTTGAAGAGAAAAAATCGAGCCCATTTTGACTAAACGCTGTGCTGAGTAGCGTTTATATTACGCTATATATTTGAATCAATACATAATTTTTTTTTATTTGTTGTTACCTTATTTTGTTCCTTCAACAGTCTGTTGTTGTAGTAAATCAATGTTCTATAAGACAACAAAACTTTTGAATTTAGATTGCAGCCATTTTAGGTATCGGGGGATCTCTACATGACTTTCGAAAGTAAAGATTTGCTACAAAATAACTCGCTTTAGCTAAATATGAATAGTCACGTGATCTTTCAGCGCCAATGCCCATGCGCATGTAAAGTACAATGCGCATGTACACGCATGCGCAAAAAGTTAAAAAATGGTACGCACCAGGTCTGAATTTCTCCACTCTAACTGCAAATTACACAACAAGTAGGACTTATTGTCACCATGCGTCATGAAAAGGGCAAGTTACATTCAATTTCTTCTTAAATACCGTTAACTTATTCCAGCGTATCTGCTGGAAGTTGGAGAAAACCACTTCACAAGACGGTATATTTGAACGTTCCGTCAGCTGGCTTTTGAGAAAGCTGTGTTCAGTAACTTTCATCAGAGAATATTCATATTGTTCATGTAGGCTATGTGGCTTATTTATTTGACTGATAGGTGCATACTGCATACCTGAATGATATATATCCTGTAGTCCTATGCCATGGTAATGCATAAACCCTTATCTTTGGCAGTCACAATGGAGTTGCTGGACTTATGGCTGATAGATAAATGAACATGGAAACAAACCTTTCAGTCATGTCCGATTACCTCTTTCAGAGGCTGACTGATCTGATAGAACAACCTTTGCACGCCCCCTATCACCCATCTCCGAATCGTGATGGCTGAAATTGCTGAAATTAGCTGCTTTATATCCATACGTTCCAGGTTCCCTTTATCTCTATCCTCTGTTTGTGAAAGTCTTCAAGTTATCAGCTGCTTCTGTGTTGATCAGGACGTTTATTCTCGACAATTGCGGTTTTGACGGAAATTCACAAGATCAAATTCTTTGCAGATTTCCAAATGAATGTTGACAAATTGTTGAACTTCACAAGAACAAAGCACTTGCACAAAATTAGTGCCGATATTATGACCCATGAAATAAGAATGAAGTAATTGAAAACTTGAAATGGAGCTAGACCTCCTATATTTGTAATAGAATCCGACACTGCCATTGTCAGGGTGTTCTGGTGTGCATTTTTCAGAACTTAAAATTCTACTTTTTAGTTCATAACTCAAGAACAAGTACATGTTTTATGAAGTTAGTTGATTAATAAGATGAAAGATAGATGGTACTGACTTGGGAAATGCTGCATACTTTGTTTTGTACTTAGATTAAATCTTAGTGACTAACTGTGTTTATTTTTTATTTCAGTTGCAGTCTATTCTGTTCTCAAGAATATAAGGTAATTATACTGAAAATATTCAATTAGATTTTTTGAACTGTAGAAATGCATTTATGCTGCCGTATTGTTTTTAAGGCCATTACAGTTAGTATTATAATTTGTTTGTTATGTTTTTATGCTTTTATAGAAACCAATTTTATCAGTCTTGTAAATTGGTTTCTATAAAAGCTACGATCTGCTCGCTAATTCAACTGAGCAGCTTTATTATAATCGATCCTTACAGTGGGATGAAAAGTCATGTGATCACTGTTCATCAACTAATGGGTTGTTCGTTATTACAACTTCAAAATGATGGGTCATTTTATGAAAATGAATAGGTTAATCATGTAGCCAGTAGCTGTTTTTGCATTCACGAATACAAGCTTAGTTGCCTTATTTCTGCCAATTTTGCCAAGATTTGCTAATCACTTAGAGAGACAGAATCTAGGTACGTAAGTAGACTCGTTGTTAATTTGAAATATAAGTGAAACAGAAATGGTGCTAATTGTGATTCTAATTTTCAAAAAATGCATCTACTTATTTTGAAAAATGGATTCACCAAAGAAATGCTACTCTCTCATGCCTTTTTAAATGTTTCATCTTGGACATTATCATTTTGAATTTTTAGCTCAAGTTTTTCAACCCAAGTCGAGAAACCTGAAATGTGTTGGTTTTGAGATTTCTCCATTTAGCTCTCTTATCCCAATATGAATGTGTGATTTCAAAAATGGGTAATCCACTCTGAAAGTGAAGTATATATCAATTAGTATGTCCCTGACATTTTTGTATTAGTAACTTGGGGAGATGTTTGTCACTCTTACCTTTCATTATTGGCTAAATCAATTTATTTTTCTCCTTGTTTGATGTCACTTCAATGTCGTACCTATTAACTACTTAGGTCCTTTGTAGATTGTTTTGATATGCGGCTTGAATATGTCTTAAAAGTACAATGTTATTATTGAAACCTCAGATGAGCAAAACCATAGAAAACCCTTTATCATTCTGATTAAATATTAAAAGTACACTTCAATATTGTCAATATGTTGGCATTTGCATCATCCAAATGAATCAATATTTTGATTGGCTAAATTTCACAAATACCAGAAGGGGTTTGGGTTCTATAGTTTTTATTAACACAAGCATTGGGATTTATAGTCCTCATGATGGTAGGGTGATTGTTGTTATCCTTATTATTGTGATGGCAGCCTGTATTTTTTTGTTATCATGATTCCAGGAGAATATGGGATTTTTTCAAATTCATAGATATGCTCAATGTTATGCAGGGTTTCATTTGCAACAGGCGATTTTCCCCAATTTTCACAAAATTGCCTGTTGTTTTTAGGGACTTTTCAAAATTTCCATGTTAAATTCATGATTTGGATTAATTGTACCTGTTGTATTCATTAATTTTGCCTATTGTATTCATTTATTTAGCCTGTTGTAAGGAATTCTAGTGAAACCCCTGGTTATAGTCAATGTAGTATTGCTCTTTTTATTATTTAATCAGCAAAGATTAAGTATATTAATGATATAAGTAGACATCATGCATCATCAACTTCAATATTTACAAGATTTTCAAATGGCATTTGTGTTCATTCAGATTTCCAGTTCAGGAGAGTTGTCAATTGAAATTCATGTCATTATTCATTGTCATCATCGTCTTCATCGTCTTCTGGTTTATTGTTAATGGCAGTCATTCACCGATGGGATAAAGATTTGATAGCCTACGTCATACTTGTTTTTGTATCTGTACTAATTCTACTGGTGATCATTAGAAGGGAATGGATAATTAGGTTTAACTCAAAAATGACATAATCCAGGATGATCTGAGATAACGTGTGACTTGTCCTAGAAACAGTTCTCTGTTTAACATATTCAATAAATTCTTGAAAAAGTGTGACAGAATTTTTATGCTATTCATGGATATCCACAATTTCAATAGAATATAAAATTGTTGATATTAGTCACATTAATTTGAAGAATTAGCGTTTCAGGCACGCACATAATTCATCATCTGGTTGCTTAATGCTTTGTCATCCTAGATCTCTATATGGTCAATTCTAGCAATCACCAATTTATATTTTAGCTAAATAATTACTAGCTGTAAATTAATACAAAAGACACAAGATGACATGACTGTACTACAGGTCACATTTATTTGTGCAAAAATATACATTTTAACTGCTTTCATTCTCTAGTTAAACATCTAATGAAGCATAATCTGTGAAATACAAAGAACACACAATAGTTTACATAAAATCACTAAGACATTAAATTCATGAAATCAATGAAGGATGGAAAGCTGAATTCATCGAGGCATTCATCATCTTGTAATTTACAGATGATTATGGCAACACAGAAACAACTGGGGCTATTTGGCTTATAAAAGTCATGATGTTGAACCCAGTGTCTATGAAGTAGACGTTCATTGTTCAGAGCCTATTTCCTTGACTTCATGTTAAAAAGTGTTTTTGATTTATTTATTAGAACTTGGATCTCAGTCTATTAACATATACTAGATTGAGTCCTTGTACTAGACATGGATGTTGTGCTTGCTACACTTGTTATTCCAGTTTTCTCATTTCTGGAAATCATACTCGGACTTCTTTCTGGTGTCTGTTCACTCCTGCTTTCCTCTAAATTACCCTCATTTCTTTGGTATTCTCGCTGAGAAGACGTTTCTTTCTCTTCTATGATGGCTTCTGCGAGTTTTATGTAGATTTTCTCATTTCTTTTCTGACTACCCTTTTTCCGGTTCTCAGGAGTTTTACGGCATCGGAGTATGTTTAAGTATGCCTCCTGGTATTGTTCATTCATTAAGCCATATATTAGTGGATTTACGGAACTACCGATGTATACCGTAATCTGGCAGTACATGTGGTACGTTTTCGACAGCACTGTGTTCCAATCAATTATGCTGCTGATTGTACACGGAAAATAAGAGATGGCGAACACGATAAAGATAACCATCATCATTCTCGTAAGATGGCGCTCATGTCGCTGATTGTGTGCATTCAGAGTTCTCGCATTCAGCATCGTGTGTGAGACGCGTCGATGGCTTTCACGGGTAACACGATAAATGAAGGTGTAACAATAAATGATTAGCAGACAGGGGATGACGGCTCTTATAATCAACAGAAATAACTTGAACGACTGACTGTCGTGCGTCAGATACAAGTTACATGTTACCATCATCGCCACATAGCCAAATTTTCCCCAGATTTCCAGTAGAGCTGGTATGAGGAATATTCCAGGCAAGACCCAGCAAGCGACTAACATAAGGATTATGTTACGACGTGTATAAAGCCTCTGGTAGCCTGCCAAGTCCGTCACCAGCTTGTAACGATTCCAAGCAATAAGGGCGATGTTGATCAGTGTTGTACCTGGAAGTACAATGATTATAAAAATGTAACCTTAGGACTTGGCATGGTTAAAGATGTGACAAAAATATGATATTCCTAGACTTATCTTTAAATTAACCGATGCAGTGTATGTTATAAAAACATCTCTTTTTATACCAAATTCATGAATATCAATTTACTTTTTTCTCACAAAAGCATTGGGTTTGCATGATCAGTTTTCACTCTCAAGATTGGCAGATATTGATGTATAATACTAAGGATGTTGCAAGAGCTGCGATGAATCGTGACTGTTGTGGTTGAAGCAATTTGGTAAAAAATTATCAGCGTCTACCAGTGCTTTTGATGCCATTCTTCATTTTAAAAATAGATGTGTTGAGGCGGCCTCATTGCGTGTAGTATTTTCATAATCAATAGTATTCAGTTTCTTAATGAATATTGACATGATTTTTTTATACTATTAGGGGTAATGCATTTTGTGTATGATTCCTTTAGTTCTAATATTTGGATTTATGGGCTCAGAGAATATTTTTCACTAATTACCATACTCTATTATATTACAGGCCCTTAGCCAAGGGAGTTCAAGCTCCACCCCCCCCCCCCCCCTTTGTGATATTTTTCAAAATCGTGCAGTTTTTCATCATTCTGAGCACTTTTCAAGTGATTTTGAGCCCCCCTCCCCCCTAGCCAGAATATTTTTCAAAATCATGCATATTTATTATGATGTAATAGTTAAAATGATTTTAAGAGCCAATTTGAAAAGGAGCCTTGTAACCTTCAATGAGGAAATACCTTAAGATATGGATCAAATTAGGTAATCAGGTTATATTTGTAATCAACTTAATGTGACTTAATAACAATAATGCATGATTGAATTTTTGAGAAGAATGCTAAATCTGTTTTGTACATATTAATTAAAATTACAGTGAAACCTCAGTATGTGAATACCATGTCTGTTTTCTTCCAGAAGAACACAATACGAACAATTCTTTATGATCGTATCTATTATTTAGATGTCCCATTGATTGAAGTGCGAGACTATTGAAGCCTTTTAGGTACCATTGCAAAACATCTCTGTAGGATGATTATCTCACCAAATGATGTTTTTCTACTCTGTAGTTTTTTATGCTACCCTGTGGAGTTATTTTGCTGTTCTGGAGTTATTTTGCTACTCTGTAGAGTTGTTTTGCTACTGTGGAGTTATTTTGCTACTCTGTAGTTATTCTGCTACTCTGTGGAGTTGTTTTGCTATTCTGTGGAGTTATTTTGCTGTTCTGGAGTTATTTTGCTACTCTGTAGAGTTGTTTTGCTACTGTGGAGTTATTTTGCTCTTCTGTGGAGTTGTTTTGCTATTCTGTGGAGTCATTTTGCCATCATTTTGAGGATAGGCATACAAAACTTAACTCTTAAAGTATAGTTAACTACCTTACATTGATATTTTGCAGTGGTTCCATGTTTAATCAATTGAAACTGTTTCAAACTGTTCACTGAAGCTAGGTTTACTGAAAGTGGATACGATTGCTTTTATGGTTTATTACTTTGAGAAGACTTTATTAGAGAAAGAAGATCAATGTCAGTTTAATGAGGTTGAGTAACATTGGAGAAATCTGTCTTCTGTTTACCTATTTGGACTTGTTAGACTTCATCATGATATGGATAGCTAAATTATTACCATATTGGTAAAAGTCTGACAATCTAGTCATCTGTCTTGGCTATGGTCAATATTATGTGTTTTCTTTCACCCGGAAGGGTTTTGATTCATTTTTTATCACTAAATTTATGATTATCGATATTATCAAATTTTGCGCAATTATCACTATTAAATGTGCTACTGCTAATAACTTCCCTCCCAAGTGTTGTTATCAAATTGTGAACAGTAATTATCACTTTTATCGCAAATTATTGCAATCGTGACGTTCCACATGTTTTGGCCTCAAAGAGAGGATGATCTGTCTTTGAATGAGGCCAGGACACTCACCCTCTGGGTATATCATCAGTGTTATATGATGGATGACTCCATAAATGATTTGGTGTTTGCTTCTAATATCTAAATCGATGGTTCATCACAATAAAAGAGTAATCTCCTGTCCCACCCAATAAAGATTTATATCACTTGCTAATTTTAATTAGAAGTTTCCATTTACAGTAAAATACTGTGTTGTTAACCTTGGTTAACAAATTTTGTTCATTTATATTTAACAATGCCATAGTTATGATAAAAAATTAGGCAAAGCTAAATAAGGTATATTAACTTAAGTGTCACAGATACTAGATTTTGTTCCGACCCGCAGAATTAAGCATCGAATCGTAACAAGGAACAAAAATTCAACATTTCAGTTCAGTTCTGGAACAGTAAAATCTTATCTTTTCATATCATTGAGCCCTCAAATCGCCACAAAGGCAGCATTTTTCATTTTTTGCACCGAAAGTAGCTTATTTTTTATTCCTTATCGATCAACTTATTTTATGCATGCTAAATAGAATGACAGTTCTGAACCATTCAAAGCCAAAATCAAACAATTCAGATTTTTTGATTTGATCTTTGAACCTTTCCACAGTTTTAGTTGAAAATTAGTCTGAATATATGTAAATTTGAATCTGTAGAATGCTGGTGAGGTGGTAAGATCTAGTCAAGTTGTCCGATGCAATGAATAATAATTGAATATTCATATAAATTATGTATACGGACTGAAGGATTGTTCTGATTTGATATTTGCTGTCAATGACTGTTTGCTACGCACAATGTCCATAAAACAAATTAGATTTACTAAACAGTTTGTTCATTTGTCCTTTTTTGTAATTTCAGCTCTCGTAAAAACAAATAAGGTCTTCAATTTACAATTTGTAGACTACATTAGCCTAGATTCTGCCTACTAAAAGAGTCAATCTCCGTATTATTTGATCCTAAAAATGAATAATCAGATAAAAAAGGCTGAAATGTCCTCTCTTAAAGGTCAACAATCGGGCATATCATGTTCAAATCATAACTGAAAATAGAGCTGTGAAACCATAAATATAGCCCTCTCCCTCCCATCAAAGCATATTCAAAACAAACCCAGACCATACTGTGGTTTGTTTCCATAGCAGCAGGTATCAGGTATTTTTCTCCATTTGTTATTATGAAAATCACCTGTTGTTTTGACAAAGTCTGCTACTGTTGTCATGTTCAAATTATACTTTCCAATAATTTTGTTTTCAAAATTGTTTTCATGTTTTATTTGTTCTCAGAAATTTTGATGAAACCCAAGGTGTGCTTCTAAACTTCTTTGATAAAAGTTTAATGTGTTGATTTGAGACAAGATTATTGAGAGATTTCATGAGGCTCCTCAGTTGAAACTGCATTCATATTTACTCTTTGTGTTAATGCTCAGTTGTAACCACTGGTCCCTATTTACTGAAAATTGAGTTCTGCAAATGAAGCAAGTAAATTCTGCTAGTGAAAAAACGTAGAAGAGTGTTCTACAAGGGGCGATCCATATATTTTGATAAAAATGCTCTCATTTTATGATCTTTTTCAAATACTAGTATCTTTCTAATTTTTTCAGAACATATAGATTATACAACTGAGATTGATAGAGGTCAAATATATTTTTACGTATAAGCTACTGCAAAAGTTGAAAATGATATAAGCTGACTAAACTTCAAAGGTTTTTATTTTTAGCTCAATTTAGGTAAGCTGTAAAAATGTAATATCTGAAAATGATTAAGAAAGATTACTGTAGCTGATGAGTTGCATGTCTGTAAGTTAGGAATCATATTATTGAATGTATTTTGGTATACTTGATTGCACTTTTTGATTGAATATAGGCTTCACGATCAAAGAATTATTCTCTAATTTAATATTTATTTAAATGAAGTTGAGTTTTCATAAATGTATTATATAACAAACCTGTTAATGTGTAGCCAAGGAAACCAATGAATTTGCAGAGGTTTCCAGTTAAGTACCATCCATCCATGGTATACGTGTACATGCTGAAAGGAAGCACCCCGAGCGTGAAAACAAGATCACAAATGCTCAGGTTCAGCACAAACACGTTAGAAATTGTCTGAAGTTTCTTACTGGTCTTGAACGCTATCAAAACCATAAGGTTTCCTGAAAATATAAAAATAAATGACCTTTTAGTGACTGGACTCAGAGATTTGGAAATGGAATTGCATTTTTTTCTGGGGATGGAATTTCTTCATCATGGCTATTTGAGTACTAGATGCAGTCAAGTAAAGAATTTGAATATATTTGTGAAAAGTATGAAGTTATAGTTAAGACCAAAAGAACTATTATCTTATGCAGAAGCAGGCATACGGTCCTGGGCTTACGATATTACACTGATGATAAATAAAATTAAAAAATAATTTTGCTGAAACTTGAATCAGAATGTAATATACCACTATTTCAAAAACAAAAGCATACAATACTGTATGTACACTTAATTTGAAGCTTCTTATTTTATCTGATTTGCTGTTTTGAACAATTGGTGCCTACTTAATTTGGCAGACATATTGCAATGCACTAATGGTACTAATTTACATGGAACTAAAATTACCGGGAGTGGCGGCTACTTATACAAGTAATTAAAGCCAATTAACAAGTAATTAGTCTCAGAATAAATGTAGCACCTTGAGAAAAAAATCATTGAATAGAGTGTATTCTGTATTCTAATAGTACATTTTATATGCTTAATTGTAATTTTTAATGCTTTCAGGTGGGTGGACTGTTTGAGTAAAGTTGTCAAGCAAGCATTATAAAGGAAAGGTCGTATGATTTCATAAATTGATTAAGTACAGATAGAATGACTCTATAAATTGATAAAATACATATAAAATGACTTAAATGAATAAAGTGTACATAGAGAATGAATTTAGCCTGACAGTGACAGCTTATTCCTTTTATGATATTTAATAACAGTGTATCACGCTCATGTATCAGTTTCAAGATTTATTCTTTCAATGGAAAAATGTTATATCTCTTCCACAAGCTACTAGATAAGGTAGATGCACATTTTTATACATACGATAGTAGCTAACAGTTATGTTTCAGTTGTCATATTTATGTCTATCATTCATCACTGATACTTAAGTTGATTTTTGTTGTTTATATTATCTCGTGATACAGTCGCGCATTTATGCACGTAATATTGCATCATTTCCTCATCATTTAATAGTTTATTTATTCTTAGGCAGGTTCGATTTATTAAAAGTCTATTTTCAATTTCAAGATTCCAGGGCTCACTCGTTGAACCTGTCCAAGATAGTTACTCGAGTATGTTTTTTCAAACTCGAGTACGTTTTTTCAAACTCGAGTACGTTTTTTCAAACTCGAGTAGGCATTGAATTCCCAAACAACGATCTCATACCCCGGGAATGATCATTTTTGGATGCACTGAACGAAACAAAGTATCGATTCTGGAAACAAAATGAAAATATTTAAAAACAAACAAACACAATTATGGCATGAATAACTACATTTATTCTCACTAAATTGATACAAACTATATATAACATCAATAAAATAGAGAAGAAACGAAGAAATTGTATCTATTTGGTCTTCAAACAGTCGACTAGGTGATTTTTTGATTTTTTTAAAATTTTTCCCTCATTTTTGCGAGTGGTACTCGATTACAGTGGCATTTTCACACTTTCTACTCGAGTAGCATTTTTCTTGCGAGTTGCACCACTAGTAGGAACTATTTAGACAGAGACTGAAAAATGTATATTATCAATGAAGTGGGAAGGAAATAAATAATAACAAAATCAAGGAACACGATGTAAAAAAAATCTGAAAGTTGTTTTCCAGGAAATGTATGATAAAATGCCAAATATGGAACAAAATATTTTTTCAGTTACCCCAAGTTACTTTAACCTATAGTAGGCTGACCTTGAAGTAAAAAAAATCTGAATTCTGTCAGTTTGATATGATTATCAAAAACATTTGTTTAATGTTTACTTGACATTGACCTGATCCTAATTCTCTTAAGGGGGTCCTTATGTTATCTTTAATCCCTTAACAGAGATCAATTTGACCTTCCTTGATTTCATATTTCACCTTAAACCACAGAGATATCATGTTTCTCTTTAGTTCATAATGTATGAAAATTAAATTGTCTTTATGATACAAGTATTGCAAGCCATAAAAGACAATAGAATTTTGTGAATGATAAGTCGTGATATTCACCAGAAGTAGCCCCAGGTAGGAAAAGGTGGCAGTGTTATCTCTTTATATTTCAATGTCACAAATGCCCAATTCTTATCATATTTTATTGAAGGTCATGGCTGGGGAATTGAGCGGAAAACATCAACTATGTTGCTGTAAAGTCCAGTGTTCCATACATAGTTATTTTTCACTTTGATTCATCTTGTATAAAGCAAAGATCATGTAACATTTATCTCTTATAGCAATACAATCTACACGGTTGATTTCAATTACATTTTTTATGATTCATATTTTTTTAAATTATACCAACCAATGTTTGCAAAGGTTGTCTTTGAAAGTTTTAAATCAAATCTGACAGAAGAATTAAACAGAAGTTACCATAATTGTCTTATTCATAATACTAAACAGTCCATCCAAATGTCAAATACTTTCCAGATAAACTTGTGTAAGGAAAAGACAATTTTTGTTATGTTGGCTTTATTTTATCTTTCAAAATACTTAAAATGTGTCTAAATATTGAATATATATTGAATAATAATATTATGTATTGAATAAAGCAATTTTTACCTTTATACCAAATCAGGTACAGTAAAACCTGTCTTAGTGAACACCTCTCTCTAGTGAACACCTGTCCCTAGTGGACACCCTTCCTACGCACATAGTCCACTGACTTCTGTATAAATTACCCTCTCTCTAGTGAACACCTACCTACAGTGAACGTTTTTTCTTGGCAAAAAAATGTTCACTGTACACAAGTTTTACTGTAATAAGATACTTCAAAAGAGAGAACTAATCAATAGAGGGCCATAATTCTAGGGGTTCACGTACAAGTTCTAAAAATGTATGGCTTAACCTCCCTAATAGCTCTTAAAATCTCACAGCTGTGAATTGAATGCAGAATGCGATGAACTGTGAATGACTGAGCCACTCCAGTTCAACTATTAACTCCCTGACGCAATTACTCAACTGTGAGGCTAGAACAAATGCACCTATTCTCACTTGCCATCACGGCACGTCTCTACTCTAAATCATACTCAATTACCAGTTTAGTTTTCGGTAACATTTAAACATCACACCTTAGAGATCCAAGATGACTCCATACAGTCTTATTAATAAACACTCAGTTTGAAAATAATGTTTAGAAAGTCATAGCCTGCCTTGAAAAAAAAGAAACACCAACATTTGAACCAATGCTCCAACTTAAAATGAGAACTAGGATCTCGGTAATTTTGAATCTATAAGCTTTTATGATATATGACATGCCTTGGTACCGTGATCATATCATAACTCAGAGAATGTGGTGGTACCTGCATCCATATTCCATAATACCGGTATATCTACACATACTTCATTTATCAGCAAAATGTATCAGTGACGAGGAGCATGTATGCATCTATGATGTTCAAGTATAATGGAGATATATCATTCATCATTTTAGCTTTAAACCAAAATGGTGCTGCATCATTTGAAAATTAATAACATGCCTCTCGATAAGTCTGCCTCGTGGAAGTCTGTTTGCCAAAATGATGAACCATGAGAGATGTTGCCCCAACAGCTAAGTGTGACTTAAGCACCCCGATTTATCTGTTTTCAGTTCTATAATTTTGAAAAATAAAAAGCACCCAGGTGAGGAAGGTCAAGGACACATGTAGGGTCATGATAACCTTATACCTGTTGTTCTATTTTTATATTTTTTCATCTGGGCAGGATTAACAATTGAAACCAACAATCTACAAACAATCTACAGATTCTTAAAAAACAGTTTGATTTAGAGGTTACGTCAGCTTTGAAATTAGCAGGAATAAATTCTAAATAGGTTCTGGTGTGTTAAAGTCAATCATCTCCAGGAGGTAACCAACTCTAAATTGATCTCTGCTGGGGAGATAAACATTTAAAAAATCATTGAAATGAGATGCGACTCCTGTCTGTTCCTGGATAATAATAAATCACTAAATTTTGAACATAACAATACCAATACTATGAATCAAGATGTCAATATATATAAATGTCAAAACTGAAACAATACCAATTTGAAAAAAAATGTAATTAAGTGTGAAAACATATTTTTTGTAGAAATTATTCTACAGATTTTTATCAAAAATTAAATTGAATTAAAAGAATTGAATTAAGTTAATTCAAAGTTTGGTCAGTGTTTATATGATACTAATGTCAAACACATCAATTTGAATTACTCAAATGCGAGTAGGTAGTTACCAGTTTTGCCATCAGGTGGCTGATTCGGGGGGGGGGATAACATGGCAGGGTATTACAAAGTAAAAGAAAATATTATCTGCCCAACAAAAGAAAAAATATATTTCACTTTTTGTGATTTTACAATATAGGGTCTATGGGGAATCTCCCTAACCTAGAAGTCACATTTTCAAAGAAAATTAAATTTTCAAAAGCACATTTCTAGATGTAATTTTACATGTAGATTCCAAATATGACATCAGTTTGACTGAATTTTTAATTTAATGATGTAAATCAAGATTATTTCTAGTGGCACCTAGTCTATTGAGTGGGATTATTTTGGGAGATGTATTGCATCAAATTATACCCGAGGGAAAATCCTCAATATGGTTAGCCTGATGAGCCATTCATCCTTATGGTTTAATTATTTACGTCATGGATCTAGTAGTGTCTTGAATCTAGAGTGTAATAACTTAGGATTTCGCTTGATTACTATTGTGAAGAAAATGCAACTAAACCCAGTAAAGCTCGGTATTGAAAACTATTTGATCACCTCGTCTGGGCTTAGATTGGGAAAAATAATATTTTGATTGATAGGTGATTCCTGTTCATTTCATTTACTTCTGAAAAACAAGAGTTATTATTTTGAAGCCTACGTGAGCTTCTACATGCAGCACATGGAGAGCATGTGTTGCGTGACGTGTTGCAAAAGATCAGACTTGACGGTGTGTTTTCCTGATTTTGGAAAATTAAATGGTCTGTGGCAACATGATACAAATGGAATTCATGACATCCATGTAACTCTTTTTAATCATCATTATACTTTAATCCATCAATTAGATAAGCAATCTAAACAATTGCCAAGTTATAAACATTGCCACCAATATAATGTAGCTCATGACTGCAATGTTTATCCAAGCGTTGCTATGGTAACTGTATTACGTCAGTAGCTAGTTTGCAACAATGGAGTCCATGGTAACTTCCTTACTTTGTGAAGAGTTTGGATTTGCTCCCTTGGGGCGAGTTCTTAATTCTCTTTTAATCAAAACTAATGACTTGATGTTGCGCTCAAATGATGCCAAAAAATGCTTTGAACTCTCAATTTGATTGGTTACCTATTAATAGCTGATATTCATTTCATATTAAACTCCAAATAAGTAACTTAAATGAGCTCGTTAAGATGTTATCAATTTCAAAACTGTAATTCCAAATGTCCTCAGAGGCTAATAATTAAACTGCTAACATGGGTTATAGAGTAGATAACCTTAGTGTACTTATAGGAAATGTCAGACTCAAACTATTGCCTAATAGCCACCTGTGCTCCATCTTTTGCTCCAGACCAACCATGGTGCATTATATTAAATTAGATTTATTTTACCCTTGAACTGTTCAAATATTTCAGAATGGAAAAACAAGGTTCCATCTGTGCACTCGCAAAAAGCAAATTATGCCGAATACAGTGATAGAGTTAATAAGATTAAGGCTTTCCCATATGATGCCTTTTGGTTCAATGGTTTGTTCTCTTTCCTGAATAACAATAAGATGTAACATAAGGACAATAGCTGGATTATGCACTAAAACTACTCTTATATGGTTCTGCTTCTTAGGGTCAGTGCACATATGCCAGGCAAATTTAGTTACTTTAGAGCCAGAATGATTTATAGAATCCATATTCAGTAATTCGAATGGACATATGATGCAGAACTTGTGTAAATGTTGACCTGGCAAATTAGTGTGTTACCGTGTTGATAAGTTCTTTTCCTTATTGATTTGATTTGATTGTTTGGATGATTAGTTCCAAGTGTTTGGGTCTTCTTTAATAACATATAAGTCATCTTGTCGATGCAGAATCCTGTTGCACTCAATTAACTGACTTGTATCAATTCATCAATCAGAATATAGCATATCGGGATGACTTAATGACTTGATCAGGTCAGAAACTTCTCAGAAAGTAAATTTTTGATCCTCGAAATGAATGAAGACTTGCATTTGATGATATCCTAAAAATGATCTCAATTTACTTTAAAAACTTAAAAAACTAAATTTGACAGTTTCAAGCAATCTCATAAATCACATCATTCAAATTAAGGCCATTGGTACTAGGAAGCACAGATTGAGTGATTAGAATATAATCAGCTGTTTTGCCGGTAAAATAACAGTAAAAATCATCATAAATTCATATCATAGTGAAGCAGTTGCAAATTCCTCAAAAATATAGATTTTGGCAAAAAAGTAAAGTGTACTGAAAGGCAGTTTTTACCAGGTAGAATCATAGATTTATAACCTTTCATTGGACATGCCTTTCATTAAGTATGCTTTTCTTTTGATATAATTTTCATTGAATATGTCCTTTGAATATACCTTTCATTGAGTATGCTCTACCTTAAATATAACTTTCTTTGAATATGCCTTTCATTTAGTATGTCCTTCTTTTAATATGCATGTAACTTTCATCGAGTATGTCCATCTTTGAACATAGCTTTCATTGAATATAACCTTCATTAATAAATATACCTTTCATTGAATATGCCCTTTATAAGATATGCCTTTCATTGAATATGCCCTTTTTAGATATGCCTTTCATTGAATCTGCCCTTCATAAGATATGCCTTTCATTTAATATGCCCTTTATTAGATATGCCTTTCATTGAATATACCCTTTATTTGATACTCCTTTCATTGAATTTGCCCTTTATTTGATATGCCTTTCATTGAATATGCCCTTTATTTGATATACCTTTCATTAAAATGTGCTTTGCATCATTAACAGTTAAGCTTCCTATTGATGAAGTGACAATCGGATTGACAAAAGATAAAGTCGAACTTGAGTCAGATTAATATTATACACGTAACTATGTATTTTGTAATTATAAACCAGTGATCCAGGCTTATAAATGAGGTTGAGCTGATTACTTTCATTATCTGGGACTTGAGTTTTTGTAAAACACCTTCAGCTGAAGAGCTAGCTTTCATCTAGGGTGATACTCTGACTTTTAGGAATGTGGTAAGAACCACACAGACTGAAGATACCGAATGCTTTCCTATTTTCACTCATCATCTCATGATTTCAAAGTGAAGCAAAAGTTACAAGGTACTGAAAAAATGTTGTCAGAACCGGGAACTGGGATATGATGAATTAAATGTCATCAAAAGAATGATTGATGATCATTTATTTTATTTTATATCCGTTTATGACTACTCTCTGTTGAAGCCATGACAGTGCCCGGACCTGTGAAAATGAGTGCGATATTTTTTGTATGCTGTCAGCTGTTCTGTCTGTGCCTTGATTGACTTATAACATACTTTCTTGAAACTAATCCAACCCCTCTCCACTTTGTAATTTTTTAATTCATCCCATTCCAATATTTAGGCGTCATATTTCTAATTTCTTCAAAATCAGTTTAATACAAATATTTTAAATTTATATTTCGTAAAATAGAAGGATGATGATATTTCAATTAGAAAAGTATGTTACATTCCATCAGATGCCTTACAAATGTCGTAACATTTCTATTTTTCTAACCATGGTTGTTAACGTTTTATTGCTTATCAGTTGGATAAGTATTCATAGATTATTAGTTCTCTAATCTGTAAAACAAATAAACAAGAGCACACTTATTCTTAAAGTAGATAACAAATTTGACAGTAAAAAACAAATTAGGTCTAAGTATAGCAAATTAAGGTATTGTTTTCAGTTCTATCTTGATGTATTTGTGGGTCCATGAAATGATGATACTCTCTTGCATCATGTCTATTTTTAAAAGTCTTGTCAACATATAATTATTTCTGTAAATCAAATTGTATTACTAGATGCAAGAAGAATGAATTTATTTGGTTGAACGCGCAATGACTCTGAATATTTCAAATGAACGTTGTATAAGGCAACAATTCTAAAGTATTTATTATGACATTACCAAAAAGTGGCTTACATATTGTTATGCTTTTTATTTTTTGTCAAAAAAGTCAAAAAGGTATTTTTTCAACTTGCTTCAAATTGACCAATTTTTTCAAGATCATTTACAAGTTCTCAAAAGTTCAAATCTGACTATAGATTTGACCTTCAATGACATTCTCAAGGTCGAAAGGTCTTTTTTCAACTTGCTTCAAATTGACCTTTTTTCAAAATCATCTACAAGTTCAAATCTGACTTTATATAAGAGATTTCACTCCAATGACCTACTCAGGGTCAAAAAAGGTTATTTTCAGAAATCCAAATCTGACTTAAGATTGAACTAATAATATTATGAGCAACTAGGTAGTGACATTTTGTCACGTTAATGCCTTGTTAATATTTGTGTGGGATTGGTTTTGCGTTTATTTTTGATGATATACGAGAGGTTATTGCTCTATTCCCTTCATAATACATATTCATAAAATAACAAATAATAGTTTTGCAATAAAAGTTCATTAATGATTTGGTCGATGAACTTATACCCTGGAGAATAATACTTAGTTCAAAGACACAATTCTTCAAAACAAGATCACAAGGCAGAACTTTCATTAATTGAAGCCTATAAAAGTAGCAAGTGTCCTACAGAGAAAACAAAGTTAATCAAAATTTCTCCTTGATGGTTTGATCGAAGCAGTTTTTACTGTTTCGTGGATGAGTGGCCTCATTCTGAAGTTAGGATATTAAAAAAGGCACAATAGACTACAAAGAAATATATACAATGCGAATAATAGTTAAGCAATACATAAAAATATTGTATTTTTATTTTGTCTTGTGGTGATGAGTGATTGACAAATCAATCAATGAATAGCTCTTCAGTTGAGATTAAAAGCAATTTAAACCCTCACTTTGCAAAAGAACTCTATAAAAATTGTGATGCTAAATATTTAATATTAATTTGTCCCATTAGGTTTTTTCTTCTCTGTAGATTACATTTGATAATTTATGTTACTGAACGAAATTAATATTTGATGAACATCAAAACTTTTTTCTTTTGATTTCATAATTATGTGGCAATTTATTCGCTCTCCTATTCACATTGCTTGTTTTTAAAGGTTGGATGTGTCCATGATACGATCAATAACACATTCGTTACTGTTCCTAGGACTCTTTAATGCATATAAACAGAAAACAATAAATGTTCCTGTGGCTATATAATCTATATTTGTAGAAAACAACATATTATGTAAAGATAGAAAAGAATAAATCAAATAATGGAATTGATTGTAACTTCTTTAGAAATAATTTTGTTATCAGTTGCATCCAAAATTAGATCAACTATATTATATTGACCAATGACTTAGTAACAAGGAAAAGGAGTTTTACAAATAATTTTCTGATTTTTGTTGTTTTATAGATGTAAAAAGGTTATCTTTAATTCACTTTGTCTCCGCTACAAATTGAATGAAAGTTTCAAATTGTAATGCTTTTCACCATTTTTCACCAAATTACCACCATTTTTATTAGTTCAAATCTTTTTAAAAAAGATTGTTTATTTCGCAGTTTGATATGTAACATGGCTTAGTTTTAAATTGATTCAAACATGAATGAGATGTGACATTGCTTATTTAAGATACCAAATACTTAAAGTCCCAATGTAAAGTTTGAAAATATTTTTTTATCATTCATTCACTTATTTTCTATTTGTCATGACTTAAAATGTTTTGTCAGAGATTTTTGCAAAAAAAAATTTTTGAAAAAAAGTTATGAGCATTTCATTTCTCAAATATTCAAATTTCTCGCCATTTTTTTAAAAGAGTTGAAGTTTTTTAATCATCAAATATCTCTTCATACATTTCAAAAAAGATTATCTTTTTAACACCAATGCAAAGATTGAACAAAGGACACACTATTTCAATAGTAAAATGCCATATTTAATGGGCCACTTCAATGTTTTAGCATATCAAAAATATTTTGCAACATTAGTGATGTCATTACTACTCATTCAGGTGGCAAAGACTTTTTGAAAAAAATTGAATTTTTTTTCTATATCAATCTTTTCTAAATATGCTAAACTTCAATGATAAACCAATATTGATTTCATTTCTCACTTATATATGAACCAAATTTTAATTTTTTTTCAGCAAAGACATGCGAGGATGAATGCTATGCATTGGTATGAATTGTGGCTTATTAAAAGATACGTGTGACCTCTAAAAGATAATTTTAAATAAATTCATGATTTTTTGAACAAAAAGTCCTTCAAAAACCACTATTTGAAATTTAAAAAAAAGTTTCAAATATCACACTTTGATAACATTTGGTAAGACTACAATATAAGCCAATGTGGTTTAAACTTTAAGATCGATTTTTTAAACAAACATTAAAACATGGGCTTTCTAATTAAAAGCCCATGATTAAAATTGATCAAAAACAAAAAGGTTTGAATCGAAAAGTGCAAGAAATACATATTATCAAACTTAGAATTGAAAAGATCGAACAAAAATCTAAAAGTTTGACTTGAAAAGTGAAAATTAAAACAAGAAAAATTGCAAATTGCAAATCTTAAAAAGATGCTAAAAATACCATGCGAGTCAAGGTAATATTTTTAATGCAATGCATCCATACTAGTAGTATAAATATTAAATCTCGGCTGCTTCCAAAGTATTTATTATACCTGTTGATTGCAAACTATAGTTGTAGATAGTTGTGTGAGTTTAATAATGAAAGGTTGAATATTATAGGAAAAATAACAATTCTATTCAGTATTTTAAAGCAAATGTCATTAAATCTTTGAATTCACCAAATTAAAACGTTTAATAGATTAATATTTAAAGGCTATTGTTAAACTTACCAAAAGAACCCATGAGAATAATAGCTGCCATTATTCCGATTGCAAAAGCCGTCATTGGATTCTCATTTAACTTCTCATGAAACGGAATGTCTGAGAACATATTAGAAATGTTCGTAAAGTCCTGATATTCATCCATCCTTTTCGTAGCATCCATATTATCACTGACAGGCTTAATGTCTTATATTATGATTTGGAGGCTCTTTTAAGCCACTAATCATAGTATATACGTCTTTATAAATATGAATTTAAAAGGTAATGTTAACCATGTCAAATATCTCAATTAAATAAACCTACAGCTACGTCATTTAGTACAAAATTCCATTACTCAATTTAAAACTCACAGACAACTTGATTTTAATTGATACTTTGAGAATTGCTATTTTTTGCATCGAATCTGTTAATTTGATATCATCTGTTGCGTGAGATCCTACAAGATCAGGCATCCTATGTCTATATATTGACAGTGAATGTAATTAATCATAAAAGAAGTCCTGGTATGATATTATTCAATTTTGCACTGTCCTTCTCTTGAAGTAGTCCTCATTTGATCTATTAGAAATACTTGCTCTATTCTGTGCTGAATGGTGAAGACTGATTGGTTCATACAAGTATGGTGTCTCTGCTTCCCAATTGCTAGCTATATACCTTGCTTTACCAAGGAGTTGAAACAGCTGATCAGTCTTTTACAATAGGGAATTGACGGGTAAACACTGTTCTACATTTTGTCTTATAATGTTTATAGTATTTTAGTTCAGATATACAAAATATGTCTAGTACAATAAGATTGATTTGTACAACTGTGCTTTTCTTATATCTGTATTACATGCATGATTAGACATTGCTTATTATATTGTTCTAATATTGAATATATAGAGGGTATCCTATCATTTGACATTTACCCTGCAGGCAGAGTCTAGTCATAAACTACGAAGAGGAAGCTCTCTTTAAGAAGCAAAGTCGAACGAATGGGGTTATCATTCCTATGATTCACCCATGATGTGATTTTTTGGGCCAAGTAGCAAAATGTTAACAATCTACGTATTATGTGGTCAATGGTCATATCTCATGATTTAAAAACCATATTCAATGGTTAAGTGAATATTTGCCAAAAATATATGATACTTTATTGTTTATGATTATGTATTGTTCTTTATTTGGGTTGATCAGTTTCAGTTAAACTGATGCACATTTCCTCAATAAAACATGTGTACTGAACACTATTATAATTCAAACACTTCATTGTGAACTATTTTTCTCAGTCCCAAATGACACCACTTGCTAATCTTAACACATTTTGCCTCTTCCAGTGGTGTTCGATTTAGAATGTCTTACAAACATGTGGTCAGGCAGTCTGTAATCAGCATTCATTTTCTGTGTCTGTTTTCTGAAGTTTTAAGACTATGAGTACTATTGGTATTCTGTATTCTATTTTGGTACATTCTGGTAGACAATTTCTTAAATTATTCAGCTGAGGTTAAGAAGTACAAGTTAGGTACACATTACACATCTGCTGTGTTGTACTTTAACTAAATACTAGTTGTTCTAAATATTTACATACCTGAGAAATGTTCAAACTTAACAGGATTCACCTAGCATCTAATTTGATTTAATCAGCAATCAAATGTTGTTATCTATCTGCTTTAACAAACCTATCAATGAAGATTTATTGCATTAAATATTGCCATATTGTTTTAATCACATCCACACATGGTTGAAATTTACATATCCCAGCATGCTAGATTATTCAAATATTATTGCGATTATGTCTGTCACTATTATTCAGGAATAGACTGACATATAGAGATGAAGATGTCCTAAGGTTCATTGCTCCAGACAAATCCCTGAAAAATTGATTCAATTTGAGAAAGGTTAAAATGCCTAAATTAATTTGGCTAATACCATGGTTAAACTCATGTGACTTATAAAAGAATGCGCACACAACTAGAGAAAAATGTTTGGCATTATGTAATTTATTGTTCTACTCTAGGCTAACTAATAACAACAAAATTACAGGAAAATTGATTCATAGAATGAAATGAATCAATTACCCCCACCATCCGGAGAGGTTACATTGCATCGAAAAAAAAACAAACCATGTATGAAATATGGCACCGTGGTGGGGGGGAGGGAGCCAAAAATTACAAGCAATATAGCATTATAACTAGCACATGTTGTCCGCTGCAAGGACAGTAGCAGAATAAGCAGATAACAGCCAGACACAAGAATTTTACATAACAGTTGAAGCATGCAGGAAACATATGTTGACCTGGTGATGACCCAGGCTGTCTTGAGAAACCCCTCTCAAGTTTAAATTAATTTCACCATGCTGGTGATAGGCACCACTTCTCCAGGAAGTCTTCAAATTCCATTATTTGGTTATTTATCCAAGGCAAAAAGAGCCAAAAATTACAAGCAATATAGCATTATAACTAGCACATGTTGTCCGCTGCAAGGACAGTAGCAGAATAAGCAGATAACAGCCAGACACAAGAATTTTACATAACAGTTGAAGCATGCAGGAAACATATGTTGACCTGGTGATGACCCAGGCTGTCTTGAGAAACCCCTCTCAAGTTTAAATTAATTTCACCATGAAATAATAATAAAAATGGATTACATGTCAAGTAGTGATAAGGGGAAGATTAACAACAGCAGTTGCTGATACTGGTTTTCATCTTTGCAGGATGGTTGTGTAAATTGAATCTCTTCATTTGATTCCCTTCATAGATTGCAGGCTCATAATTTAAATTTAACCTTTGACCCTTAAAAATTGACATGTTTGTATAAGAGCCCAGGCACTGAGGTTTAACACAGACAGCACCCTTTTTCAAATCTTGCCCTTTTCTTATTTTATCTAGTTGTAAGACTAGATGAGAGTAGAAATGATCTTGATTTACGTCATTAAATGTTGAAAAAAGCTTTGAAAATTTAATATTTTTTGAAAATGTGACTTCTAGTTCGGGTTGATTCCCCATAGACCCCATATTACAAAATCACAAAAAGTGAAATATCTTTTCTTGTATTGGACATTTTATTTTACTGGACATACTTTAATTTGCATAACTTTTTGATACATAAGGGCTATATGAAAATTGAACCACTAAAACACCTTTCTACTATACCCGCCATGATATCTGACTCGAGCGAGCCACCTGGTGGTGAAACTGGTAACTACCTACTCGCATTTGCATTATTGAAGCTTTACTCTAAATGAAATAACCTGGCGATCAATCCTGCATGATTCAAAAACTGTCTACCTAGTGTATGTCAATAAAAAAATAATCTGCTTGAAGCGGATTGTATGGATTTTTAAAATTGACTTGATGGGGAAAAGAAGTACCTGGGCGTGAGGTGTTTAAAGCAGTTAAGATGCACCTTATTAGAGCTATGTTGGGGTTTCAGTACCAACATGGTGTCACTTGTGTGCTACAGTAACTCAGGAACACTTTCATGCTACCTCAATACATGAGGTAGTGTGCATTCAAACCTGTCACATTCATATCTGTCAAATTTCTACTCCCTCAATATATGGGGTAGTTTGCATTCAAAACTCATATACCGCCTCAATACATGAGGTAGGTTGCATTAAACCTGTCACATTCATATCTGTCACATTCCTACTCCCTCAATATATGAGGTAGGTTGCATTCAAACCTGTCACATTTATACTGTCTCAATATATGCGGTGTTGTGAGGTGTTCAAAGATATCACATTCATTCAGCCTCAATACATGCAGTAGTTTACATTCAAACCTGTCAAATTCATTCTGTCTCAATATATGAGCTACCGTATTCTCTGTAATTAGCACCCAGACGAACTCCCGTGCAGTGATATATCACTGCGGCGGGCAGGTGTCTCACCGTAAGCATGGTAACATCGTAATAAACAACTGACGTGATTGGTTCTAGTCCCATGCTCAGGTCGCGTGATTGTAAAATTTAGACAATTTCATTGGTTGAATTGCGCGTATTAACTAATAAACAACACGTGCGGTAAACTTTTATCAACACAACTTTTACTCTGAATTCCTTCCGCGGGGATTTGCTCTAATATTTCATTGATTTTGGAATATTTTGACAAAATAATTATTGGCGAACATAAAAGAACATATATTTTATAAGTTGTGTGAAAAACAAGTACATCTGTGACAAAAAGGGGGACTATCTTCCCCAAATTTTGGGGATTCCATAATCTGCCCGCCGCAGTGTCTATACCGAGACACTGCATAGGAGTTCGGCACCCAGAGTGTTTCGAAAATTCAAAATACCTCCTTCAAACCATTAGATTTAGCGTCCATGTTTGAAAGATAAAATCCCCGGCAATTTCATGAATGGCAGTTTTTTTTCTTTCCAAGAATGACTTCTTTGTAACATTAAAATGGAGAATGAGCATATCTAATGTTTTACCTCAAGATAATTGAGGTAGTTCATGATCTTGATAATCGCAAAGTTGGTTAGTGAAAACAAAATTCTTACCTTGAACATTTCCTTCTTTCATTTTGGACTATTTTGGTATGATATTATTTTAGAAAGGACATAATGAAAGATATTTATTGGAAGGATGTATCGAATTACAATATGGGTCATTTTTATCCTTTTTTTCTTGTAGTTTACAAGTACTTTATTATCTCCCATTTGATTTATCAGAATTACAGAGAATACGGTAGTTTGCATTAAACCCTGTCACATTCATACTGCCTCAGTATATGGGGTGTTGTGCATTCAAACCTGTCACATTTATACTGCCTCAAAACATGGGGCAATGTGTGTTCAAACCTGTCCAATTCATTCTGCCTTTGGATATGGTATAGTTTGCATTTAAACCTGTCACATTTATACTAATATTGTGCACCTTATTAGAGCTATGTTGGGGTTTCAGTACCAACATGGTGTCACTTGTGTGCAACAGCAACTCAGGAATACTTTCATGCTACCTCAATACATGCTGTAGTGTGCATTCAAACCTGTCACATTCCTACTTCCTCAATATATGAGGTAGTTTGCATTCAAAACTCTCATATACTGCCTCAATACATGAGGTAGGCTGCATTCAGACCTGTCTCATTCATTCTGCCGCAATACATGCCGTAGTATGTATTCAAACCTGTCATATTCCTACTCCCTCAATATATGGGGTAGTTTGCATTCAAACCTGTCATAGTCAATGAGATAGTTTGCATTCAGACCTGTCACATTCATAATGCCTCAATACATGAGGTAGGCTGCATTTAGACCTGTCACATTCATTCTGCCTCAATACATGCTGATAGTATGTATTCAAACCTGTCATATTCCTACTCCCTCGATATATGAGGTAGTTTGCATTCAAACCTGTCACAGTCAATGAGATAGTTTGCATTCAGATTTGTCACATTCATAATGCCTCAATACATGAGGTAGGCTGTTTTCAGACCTGTCACATTCATTCTGCCTCAGTATATAAGATAATGTACATTCAAATCTGACACATTAATACAGCATCAATACATGAGTTTGCTTTTACAATTTCAACTTAAAGTTGGCTTTAATGCTAACTGGAGATGCCAGGTATCATACTCTAGATGGCATTAAGCAGGAACATTTATGACAACCATGCTCTTAGCAGTGTCAGATGGAATTCTCTATTTCTTTAGTATTATGGACTTGCAATAACTTCGGATCAGTTATCTATTTGAAAAATACAGAGCCCTACTGTACTAGATAGCCTATAATATGCTCTAGCATAACCCCATTGTTTGTGATCAGGGAGTCTTCTAGAAACTTAAGCAAGTTAAAAATTCCTAAATCCATTGTTCCCCATTGATCCCTTGTTACTGAGAACTACAAGTGATGTATAATTGTTTATTCTATTTTTGTATTTTTGTGTTCAGGGGGTCTATATAATCTTTTTCCTGATGGTATCTTATCAGTTTGGTTAATTCACACTTTGTAACATCCTTATTCTGCTGTAGGTTTGGTCTAATAGAGATAACCCGTGAAGCCACCAGTGAGATAAAGAGCCTCTAAAAAGGTATAGGAAAGAAGTTTTCAAGTGCTTTTGTGAAGAAAAATTCTATTGTGTAAAAAGTTTATATTCTTGGATCAATCAATTGATCTGCTTGTTACTTTCTGTCAACTTTCAATGGATTACTTTTGAGTTCAAATGCTACATAGCGTCACAATAGCCTCGAGTTTATATCATTGGTTTTTCCATGACAGACACCTTTCCTATTTGATGTCTTGCTTCAATTGATTGGAAAGTTTCAATGGGAAATATTGTTTTCATAGACATTAAGATATATGTTGAGGGATTGGGCGTTATATATTTTGTGATGACGTAAATTTCTTATGGTGTATCATTTAACAACATAGAAGATTTCACATTTAGGGAAGATAATTTGGAAAGAGTTAATTCCACTTTTTTTACCCATAAGAAATCAACAAATAATTGAACATAAAATATCATGAAATCATTTGGCGTTCTTTAAAGTAATTGTTCCTTGGTTGCCATTATGTGATTTAGCGTTTTTTTGTTGGGACTAATTTGGTACAATCGTAACTTAAGACTCCTAAAGAATTTAAGGTTATGGCTGTAATCTTTTATTTAGCCGATTAATTACTTTTATCCAATCTGAAGTTACTATCGATTTTGCATTGACGTTGTCTCAAAAATTAATAGTTTAATTCATTTGTAACATGGTTTCTATACCAATAGAGTTAGAGTGGCTGTGGTAGGAGGGTAGCCTGCACGTAGCTTTGCCTATTTATGAGTCAGGCCGACAGGTCAGAGCGTCATTCACATCTACAACCACCACGCAGTCAGAAGAGAACCAAGTGCTCATATATTTTATAGATAGCTTATATTATGCTAGCACGTTTCTAAATAAAACATATCAAATATTAAAAATAAACATAAACCATGAGGTTAGTTTATAACTTCATTGTTGATGCCACATGCATGCTAAGATTAGCAAAACAGAAACAATTCTTGTATGTTCATTCTGTTAAACCAGTGTATTCCTTCAGTCGTATGTAATAAATACACTGATATCAAAATGTTCAAAATTATCATTACCAGCAATTGATGTCTTGGCATGTGTTTGAACAACATGCTATTCAAACGTGATGCTGAATTAAATCTGAATTTAAGAAGGAAATGAATTTGTTTTCTTAACCTCTTGAATCCCAGTCTCTAAAATCGGTTGAAACCAGAGATATTTTTCATTTTTGCCACCTTTTAATATTTAACTACATTCATATACAACTTTAGAAGCTATACTTAGTAAAATCAGAAGGCGGAGATCATTTCTACAAATTCTAAAACAAGTTTTGTTTAAATTGGATGAAAATTGTTCAAATAAGAGCAATTTTAGTGAAAAATTTTGTGACGGATTTTCTCGTCACCCTGGGTTTCAAGGTCATTTCTGAGGTGACGAGATATCTCTTCACTCCAGGTAGTCAAGAGGTTAAAGACATTATGAGCATAGAATGTCATAGATTGCCCATTTTGTAAAACATACATTCATCTTTGACTTAACGCAGTAGGCATCAATGTCTCCAAAATTGCATATTTGAGGTATTTTTCTTTCTTGGTATGTTTACTAAGAGAATAATATTTGCATTTCATCAGAGTGTCTGGGTAATATTATATGTACTATGGTACTTCATACTTCGAAAACACATGATGAGAGAGATAAATCCCAGCTCTGTCCCAAAAAATGACATGTAACGTCTTATATCTCTTGCAAAGTGCTATTTGCATATTTTCTCTTCGTCTGGATATGAATGTATTATTGTTGCAAAGCTTCATGGATAAAACAATTAATATAGTACAATAGACAGGATTTCAAAGATATTCTGAAGAAGCATCCTCGTTGGAAGGTTTATAAGTAGCTAGGGCAAAGGGCAATGTCATAAAGGTTATATTTGTTCTGATTCCCACTAAGAGAGGTTAGATTCATGACGTAATTAGGGAATTTCAGGGTGGCACTTCAGGTTAGAACGTGCTGCTTTATAGCTTTTTTAGATATTTGAGATTTAACCAGTTATAAACAACATGTCTATTCTCTTTGTAGCGAGGACATTGCCATAAGAGAAAATTGATTTGTTCGATTTTGGCGTTAGCTGTTATTGCTACAAAAAGGACGGGTGTCATTAAGGGCCCTTTTTAGCCCCCAAAGATATCTGATAATAATGCATATCATATTGAAGAAAAATCATTTGTGCTTTATAAAAATACAATTTCAGCGAATTTTGACCTTTGATGTTCACACAACAGTCATTTAAAGATCATATACCATTTTTGGTGTTTTTACAAAAAATTCTTTATTTATTGTTGTCTAAGTAAATAGTATTTAAATATTAGCCAATATAAATATATTAAAATGTAATATATGAAATACTGAAGAAAAGATACGATTAAAATTATTTTCATGGAAAAGCACATAGGGCAATATTGACAAAATGCAAATGCTATTTTGGTAGGTTCTGGGCTGGCAATGGGTACATTTCAATTGTGACTGTAATGGATTACTATTGACTTTTATCAACATCACAGGGCAACATTTAAGCAACTTAAATACAAGGAAAATCAAAGATTTCCTCTCATTTCTAAAACGAGGAACAAAAGCATGAATTCAAGGAAAATAAATGATGGCCTGTGCCAAAATATATAACATATGAGAAAGTTGTGGCACAGTAAAGGATATGTATAGGATATCATCTGATTTTAAATGATTTTATCTTTATCTCGAAGTTGATATCAATATCTTGCCAAGTTAGCATAGCGAATTAGCGCAGATATTGATATCAATGAGTTGGATTAACACAATATCACGAAAATTCATAGGATGTTCTACTTTTCCCATAATTCACCTCTAAAACTAAACAAAGCATATCAAAACAACATCCATTCATTCATTCATCCCCGTGATGTCATGAAATCAATATGTAACAAAACACATTATATTGGTAGTAGTTTTCAAATCCCTGCCAAAAGGTGATATCTGTGAAATATTTTCCGTATTCCACAGATATCACTTTTTCCACGCATTTGCAAAATATCATAAATATGTTTTCATGTTACCTAACAGAGTGGAACAGAGTTCAACTATGGGATAAAGAATAAAAATAGGTACATAATTGAATTACCACTCCAAAAATATTAAATATGAGGGTTTAAAGAAAGAATATTGAATATGAGATTCAAAAAGACAAGTGGCCTCATGTCTCACATTACCCAAACCCCAGATCCTCGATGTCATATACTGTACACTATATATCAATGTTATTTACTGGGAGGATTGAATATGGAGTGTATAGCAATGGTCAATACGATATTTCCAGATGGATATTTTTTCCCTAGAAGCGGAACCCAAACTCAGTCATGACATAGAAGCTAACTTTTGCAATTAATAGAAACTTGTTTTTTATTATATTTTTGTGTTCTATATTTGAGATGAAATAATATGAGATTCATTTCTACAAGAGGATGGAACGAATGTGAACTTGTATATTGAACTATACTCCTTTTCTGAATAAACAGAACAACATTTTATCCAAGCCAATTAAGAAAACCAAGGCCATTCCAGTTAAACTAACACAATAACAACTTTTTGTCTGGACTCACTTATTATGTAAGAATGAAATGTATTACTGTTTACTGCATTAAATGTCAAGTATACTATCTGTATTTAATTTCAAATGCCTATCTCACTTATCGAAGGTATACAAGAAATGTTATTTTGAAACAAATTCAGCACAACCAAAACCATGTCCACATAATATGACAAATCCAAGATGGCTGCCACAATTTTAGATCCATGCACATGTGAAGAAGTTAGAAATACACATGGTCCACAAGTTCCATCCCCAATAAAATGGGAAGTTTAAGGTTTTCACACATATCAACTCTATTCCTATATACTTTATATTTGTGGTAAGGCTTGTGATCTAGGTAAACTTAGCATGTACATGTACCTCCTATCCTCTGAAGCTAAAAACAGAAATAGTGACTTCAATTGAGAAAAATGAATCTTATGGGCTCCATATACATTTTGAGTGGCTGTCCGGCTAAAGTTAGATACTACTGATAATCTGAGATTGAAAATTATGTCAAGTTTAGTCCTCAGCCTCTCATAACGGATAACTTCAAGGTAATTGTGTTGTTACTGCAAAAACCTCCAACTATTCATCACAAATCTACCATATTTTGCATCTGTCAAAACCCTTCATTTCATGTTAATTTTCAGACTTTTGCTTGTGCCATCATTAAATATATATATTCAACTTGTTATTCAGAATATTTTAAGAACTTTTCATGAATTTTTTTATTTTCACACTTTTGAAAAAATGACTAAGTCAGAGAATGGCCTCTTAATGGCATGTCCCCTTTCTGTAAAAACATGTTTCATAGACATTATTTTTGAAAATGAAATCTGTTCTTTTGGTTGATTTTGAGAGTGAAATACTTTGTTGTTATGTGAGGAGGTGTTCTTTATTCATTAAGAAGCCTTAAAAGATCAAGTAGTGTCTTGGTATGATTATCTAGATTAGTGCTCAACCTCCGTTTGCCGCTTTGTTATATTGTCTAATCAGGAACTAAGAACATTGTTGACCTATCCAAGTTAAACACGCCTAACTGTGTGGTTAGTCGCTGTCTGCATCAGTCCTTGAAAGGTCAATTTTCTTTTTTAAAGTGATTTTTCATGACAGGAAATACATTTGTTTATTTATGTATTATTAATGTTTTCTTGAGCTGGGATATTTACAGAAAACAATGTTAGAGTCCAAGGCTAATGACTAAGAATTACAAATTAATTTAAAAATATTTATTTAAATTAGGAGATTTGAAGCTCAAGGTTAAAGATTAGGCTATATTTAAGTTTTTACCCAAATACATATGTAAATAATGACATATATATGTTTATGTTTGCCTTGAGGTTCCAAAACTAGATAATTATATTTAAAGATTAAGTTCTTTTACAAAAAATGAAAAAGTAGAATGCTGAAAAAAGAATTGAAAATTAAAAGATTCGTTGCCATCCGTGGAAGATGTCAGATTTCATGTATTATGTCACAATTAGGGGTGATATCAAAAATGTCAACAACGGTTGTAGAAGAACAACGTTATTATGTTGGGGAAGGTTTTTTAATTCAGATTCAAGAGAATATTTTCAATATTTCAATATTTTTGCATTATAGTGATGTGTGAGAGGGGTAAAACAATAATGAAATTAACTTTGTTTTTGTCTAACTAGAATAACGGCATCTCATGCCATCTTATTATTTTATTTACATCTTTCGCCAGAGAAGTAACAACCATCTACATTTGCTACAAGTGCTGCCGTCTATACACTAGTGAAACATCTCATATCATCTTTTACATCTGTCATCAGGAGAGCTAAGAACTGTCCACATTTGCTTTCAGGTGCTGCCATCTATACAAGTAAAATAAAGACAAAATGGCAAAGTCAAAGAATCACACCGCACACAACCAGAGTGAGTCAAATTATATTATATCAAATATTTGTTGTAAACACTCATTTTTGAACATTCAGATCTATTTAGAGTTTAATCCCGATCAACTTCTGTATATGACATCCAATGATTCATATTTGAATTTAAGGTCTCAGAATCTTGCACAGATTAATAAGAATAAGAAATATAAAAACACTTATCTGTTGTAGTATAACTTTTGACCAATTATTGTTGTTATTTTAGACCGCAAGGATCACAGAAATGGACTTCCAAGGCCCAAGAAGCAACGTTTCCCATCTCTCAAAGGAGTAAGTATCGTTTCAAGTAAATAACATGGAACACCAAAATAAAATTTTGCGGAAGTCTGTTTTACAAAAGTCTATAAATACGGCAAAAGTACAAACCTGTTTTTCCTTGAAATAATAAGTCTCTGTTGAAGGGTTAGAATAAACTTTCTCTGACCTATTTACACAATTTATGATATGAAATATCAATACAGTATAATATATCAATTGTTTTGTTCAGTGATATTAGAGAAGACTTAGGCAACACCTATGGTTAAAAACTGGTCTGTTGGTATTGATTTATAATCAAAAAAATAGTCAGGAGTTTTGATTGCATGATCTCATGATCAAATAAATAATTCACTTATGAAAATATTTATATAACATTGCTCATGACATTAGATGTTTTTTCTGGAGAACACAGTTGAAACAATCAATAGAATATGATAAAGTAGGTTGGAAAGTAGGAAAAAGACAAATACTTGGAAATACTTTAATGTTATTAAAATAGGGTGGTAGAGCATAACATGTATTGGAAAACCTGAAGCAGTAGGATAAAATCTTTCTATGATATATTAAAGCTGAAATAAGAAATGAAGAGGATGGATGACAAATGTTGTGAGCTGCAACATTATTTTTCTAAACAATCAGATTCACCTTACCAAATATTAAAAAGATCCATGGTGGCCTTTAAAATGGTGTTGTAATTGAAGATGTGCAAAAAAAGTAAAAAACACACGAAAAGTTAAGAAACAAATTCCAGTAACAATGAATAATGAGCAAATACCTCTTGTAAATAGCCATAAACATTTAGGCATCATTTTAGACAAACACCTTAGCTTTGAAGAACACATTAACTCAGTGATTACTAGGTGTAATAAAATGTTAAATCCATTAAAAGCACTCAAATTTTCAGTAAGATCAAAACACTTACAGACAATTTACATGGCATTCATTCTCCCACATCTCGAATATGGCAATATTATTTTTGACAGCGCAAATCTAAACCTCTTAGCAAGTTTAGATAGAGTCCAATATAGAGCGGGTCTTATTGTAAGTGGTTGCATCCAAGGGTCAAACTCTGAGAAGGTGATGGCATGTCTTGGATGGAGATCTTTATCCAATCGAAGAAAAGAAAAAAAACTAGTTTTTATGTTTGATTTTGTAAATAATTATAAGATGCCTTCATATGTTTCAAATGTTTTTGAACAGTATAAGAATCAGGTAACCCACCAAAGACTTCGTCGTAGCAATGATTTTAAGATCCCATTCAAAGCATCTGCTAAACTTAGAAAGTTTACAGCTTTATCCAGTATTAAATTATGGGATAATTTACCTGATGAACTGAAACAAGCAAACTCACGCAACTCATTTAAGTATAAAATTAGAACATTTTTGAATGGGAAAAAGAAAGAATTCACAACCCCAAGATTAAACCTATCCAGAGATAAAGAAATTGTCTTAAATAAAACGAGATGTGATCTCATTTTTAGGCAGCATCTTTTTACACATAACTTCAAAAATATTCCAAATGCCAAATGTAAATGTGGTCACTCTACTGAATCAACCAAACACCTATTGCTCCATTGCCCTCTTTTTAACACTCAAAGACTCAATTTTCACAGAGAACTAGGGGGACTGCCATCCTTTAATTTAAACTCTTTTAATAATAGAAAACAGGAGGACAGGGTAGACTTTCTACTTTTTGCAGATCCTTCTCTTGACACAATTACAAATAAAAAGGCTATTGAATTAACAGCCGAGTTTTTACACTCTATTGTCAAGGAAGTTAAATAGTCCAATATTCATTAATTTATACATATATCTCTGACCTGTCTTCATGTTTTCAAGATTATTTTCATGTTCATAAATATGTTTTATATCTATCATTTTTACATTATGACCTATTTTAACTTATATTGTAACTACTTCAACAGGGCCAATAATGCTTCGG